GGCGACGGCGGGTGCGGCAGGACCCGAGCTGCTTCCTGCAGCTGTGCCGGCGGCTCGGCTGCGCCCCCGACATCTGGGCGCTGCAGGAGTGGAGCAACTGGCTGACCCCCGTCGGCAGAGCCGGCGGCCGGCGCTACGACACCGCCTTCTACCTGTGCTGCCTGCAGCAGCGGCCGCCCCACGCCTCGCAGGACGACCAGGAGGTGACAGCTCTCCTGGTAAGGGCGGCGCGGCACGGCCCGCCGCGGGGCTCCCGGTACGGTTCGGCCCGGCCCGGCGAGCACTGCCGGGGCCGCCTCCAGCGCGGAGGAACGGCCGAGCAAAGGGCCAGCGCCCCACCAGGCTGCTAGTCAAGGGGAAGGGAGTTGGCCCTTTGGCGGTCACCCTCGCCTCGGTACTCTCCTGCTAGCCCGCAGCCCCCACCGCTGGGCGTCTTGAAGGGCATTCGTTGTACCTGAGTTTTATGGCGTGCGGTGTGTGTCGCGTCGGATTGTTTTGCCTTTGAATTGTTGTATCTTTCAAAGGTGGATGACAAGCAGTCACTTTCCACACCGCCATTCCCTGCCGTTAGCCCTCGGACAGGCAGTGCGGCGGCGGAGATGCGGGGGTACCTGCGGGGTGTTCCAGCCGCGGGAGCTGCTGGCGGCGTCCCTCTTCTCTGCTTGCTTGGGACGTTCCAAGTAACATACAAACTTGTGAAACAGCGTATTATTAAAACCATTTTGGGAGTTAACGTTGCTTTTTTTTAACTTTGTGTTTTGTTTTTGTTTGGTTGGTTGGTTTTTTTAATCGGAGGGTGTAAAAGATTGAAAAACTTCATGAAGGAACTTCTTGAAGACAGCTCAGGGTCAGGCACATTAGGGTCTTTAAGTTTTTCTAGAATTCCGAAAAGTTTGAAAATAGAAACCAGACAATTCTGTAAAAGTCTATCTAAAGATTTTGCTATTACTGATGTTTCTGTATCTATTTTTTTAACAGATCTCACTACAGAAATTTAGAAGTACCCGAGATCTTACCTTCAAAAGAGTTGATGTCTGCTATAATTTTGTTACAAATCTGCAAATGCTTATGCACACATTTATATTATCAAATTCACCATGTGAGATGAAGATTACTAATAGTTTAAACATGCCAAACAACGTAACATTTAAGCATGAACAGCTGCTGGTCGTGCTCTGAAAACAATGTTTACAGGAATCAGATGTTTAGAGGTACTTTTAATTCCTGAAGCATCAGTAGCAACCTCTGTTAACCAAGTCCACCTTGAGTTTAAGGTTTTATGTTTCAGTAGACTTTTAGTCACGCCCCTGAAGTAAGTCTCAATTTTAGTTTATAAACTTGGCATGCCTACATGTAAAATACGCACCTACTTATTTTTATTGGACAAAGAGGAATTTTTATAGATTGCTTTTATTATGTTTTTTCATTTTTTTAAATTATCTTTTTGTTGCTATTTTGGTATAGTTTATAGATGGGGTTTGTTGTTTTCAGACACCGTGACCTGTTTCAAGCTCTTTTTTCTGTAAAGAATTCCTTGCTAATAGCTTTTAAGGTTACTTTCTACCTGCTGATGAAACCATTATATCAAGGCCTGTTTTCATATTACAGTGGTCATCGCCTCCAGAAGCCATTGAACGCTTTAAATCTCAAGAACTATGGTTTGCTCCACCTCAGTTCTATGAGCTGTGTCGGCTGTGCAACTTCTCGTCGCTCCGCGAGTTACACCAGTTCAGCTCTGACCGGGCTCTGGAGGGATGTGAACGTTGGATGCCCGTGATGTTAACTGCTTCCGATGGCTACATTCAGCTCCTGCCAGGTAACACAACAGTTGAAGGTTCTTTTAAATCCGTCAAAGCTTGGGAACTGATACCTACTCAATGTGACATAAACCAGCCTATAGCTGTAAGAAAAATATTTTTTAAAGTCAAGTTACTGCATGTTTTTTCTACTGTTTGGCCTCCTTTGATACAATTCATAATGGCTACTGTCAGAGACCAGCTACTGAAACAGATAGGCAGGACAGTTATTTCTGTACTCGCTTACAATCTCATTGTCTCATATGGTTGCCATTAATGTGTTTATTTATTAAGAAATCCTAGTATTTCAGCTTTTTTTTTTGAAGTTGCTGTATTTGTGGCACATTAGCATTCTTGCCCAAGAGCAACATGGATAAAACAGAACAAAATAACAGTTTCTATTCTTAGTTCTCTTGTAGTATTTTTATACACTTGGAAAAGTATTTGTTGTCTTCTCTGTCTATATAAACTCATATTTGAGGAGGCTGGGATTATTCCATATTAGTATTATCAAGAACTAGTTTCACTAGTGCTAGTTTCACTCAATCAAAAGGCTGAAAAATAAGGTAGGCAATGTATAACTAAAACTCTTTTTGTGCCCACAGGAGATGAGTTATATCCAGAAGATCCAGATTATACAGGAGAAAAAAAAGTAATCATGTCAACAGATAAGAAAGTTGAAGATCTCATGAAAGAGGGTAGTGTATTTCACAGGATAGTAATAAAAAACATCAACAATCTTGCTGTCTATGTTAATATTCAAGCAAAATATAAACATAAGAATCCAGTGATGATAGAGTCTCGTTGTTCAAATCACAATAGCAGACTGTAATATCTGCTTGGTTTAAAGTTATGGTATTTTTAATTACATACATATTCACTGTGGTTTTGTCTTCTCTAACTATTGCCAAATTGTCAGGAAAATACTCCTTTGTCCTACCAAAGCTTTTTGTGTATGGGGTTTGAGATTTGTGTTGATTCACTGAGTCTTTGAAACAGCACAGTTGTGCCACTTACGATCTTTAGAGACTACTGAAAATGTAACATAACCATCAACCTGATTATTAAATTCAATGTGATTTGATGGTAATTATACTGAGGCATTACCACCTTATTCTACTTACTAATTGCAGAATATGCAGCAACACTGATCTGTTGAAACACGCAGGTCCTTTTCTCACTGAAAATTTAAGTATATATTATGTTCAGGACAAGTATGTTTTGAGTTGAAGAATTCTTTTACTATGCTTCCCAAAGTTATCCATTAGACTACTGTAATTTGTGCTTTGGAAAGAATCTCATTCCATATCTGCTGACATCTCCCAGTCTATTCTTTCATTTTTGGGAAAACCAGTGTATATGTGTAGAGAGAGATTTATTAGCTAAAGCTCACCTTTAAAAAATAATTATAAAATTAATGTTTATATTCAATAGACTTAAATTATTTCTACTCATGATAATGTACACAAAACTTTACAATCACCAAAGGTAAAGATTATTTAGAGAAACTAAGTCATCTATCAGATTGAGTGTATTCTCAACATTCTTTTTATTCATGATAATTTTTACTCTTTAAGTTGTTAGCACTTTAAAAAAAAATACAAACCCAAATTGTTTAGTTCCAAAAAGATACCAACAACTTCAGGGAATTAGGCACTACCTTGGAAACACCCACTTCCATATTTCAACATCCCACATTTTGCTTCTCAACTACTTTACTAAATATCTGAGATTTAAGAACTTCAGAGGAAGGATTGCCGCTCAGTTTTTGGTTTCGGATTTTTGGTTGGTTGGTTTTGTCTTTTTTGTGCAATAAATGGAGTAAATGGAGCACTGATGTAAATTCTTTATCTGGAAGAAGAATGAATGATGAGTTGAAATTAGCCAGTAAAGTTGTTCAGAAAGTTTTGTTTCAGCTTTTGTTCTGTATTTCAATTAAAATCTGCATTATTTTCATTAAATTGAATTGGTTTGTATTATTAATTTGGAGTGGGAAAAAAAATGTCTTTGTCTTCTCTCTGAACATGCTCAGACTGTTGGTTTTGCAGAGCTTGCTGTAATTTGTATTCCTTTGCTAAACATGGATCACGTGAAGCAGTACATATACTATATACTGTATATTACGCAGTGTAGTATCTCCTTTAGAATATTCCAGCTAACTCTGCTGAAGATGAAGACAACAGAAAAAATTAGGAAAATGTAAAATAGAGGAAGCAAAGAAAGTACCATGTATTGCTGCTGTCTTGCATGATTTTCAGTTTTTTGAGATTAACACTGGCCTCTATAGTACTGGGAAGAAGAGGTAAAGGCATGCTTATGATCATATTTATGGTGTCTATAGAAACAAATATCTTGGCTTCAAAATGATTCAGTTCATGTCATTCTGATGTTGGTGGCCCCAGAGCTGGAGGAAGCCGTGCGGGGGGTGAGGAGTGTCTTCCCAGAGCAGAGGGGCAGATTCTCCCCTCCTACCCTGCTGGCCACGATGCTGGGGATGCCGCCCAAGATGCAAGTGGTTTTCTGAGCTGCAAGTGCAGATTGCCAGGTCACATCCAATTTTTCATCCACCAGTACCCCTAAGTTCTCCTCAGGGCTACTCTCAACCCATTCATCACCCAGTCTATACTCATACTGGTGATTAACCCAGGTACAGGATCTTGCATTTGGCCTTGCTTAACTTCACAAGTTTCACACAGGCCCACTTCTCACAGCTGTCAAGTCCCTCCAGATGGCAACCCTTCCTTCTAGCATACCAACTCAGCTTGGTGTCATCAGCAAACTTGCTGAGGGTACACTCAATGCTACCATCTGTGTCATTAATGAAAATATTAAACAGTACAGGTCCCAGTATGGACCCCTTGAGGGACACCACTCATTATCGGTTTCAATTTGGACATTGAGCCATTGACTGTAACTCTTTGGATGTAGCAATCCAGCCAATTCCTTATCCATCTAATAGCCCATCCATCAAATCCACCTCTCTCCACTTTAGAAGCTAGAATGTTGTGGCGCAGCATGTCAAAGTCCTCAGAGAGGTCCAAGTTGCTGTCCCCTTGTCCACTGATGTAGTCAGTCCATTATAGGAGGCCACTAGAGTAGTCAGGTATTATTCGCCCTTGGTGAAACCATATGGGCTGTCTCAAGTGACTTCCCTGTCTTCCATACACTTCAACATTAGCCTCCAGGAGGATCTGTTCCATGACCTTACCAGGCACAGAGGTGAGTCCATAGCTCCTTGAAGAGCTGCCACCTTTCTTCTGCTCCTTTATCACCAAGGGCAGTTTCCAAGGGACTCCTATCCACCCACCAATTGCTTAAACAGCTGAAGGATCTTCACTTTACTCCATCTGGTCCATACTCCTCATGGATCCAAGTATACAAAACAATATATAGAAAAACTCCCAAAATAAAGAAAATACGAAATCTACAACTGCTTTGATTTTGCAATATAGTCTTTTGTAGTTGCTGGATGATTTTTCTTTGTTGTTCTGTGCCTTATGATTGTTCTATCAGATTACTTTTACTGTAGAAAGTAGGTATTAGGAGAAGACATTTTTAGGAAAGAAATTATTTGGCAACAAAGATACAGGTTAGATTCTTACAGAAGTTTTTACATACCTGCATGTTGCTGTACATTATGCCTCTAATTCTAATGTAAGTTTTTCTGTGTGTCAAAACCAGTTAATTCAATACCAAACCGACATCTTAAGTAAACAGTCTGCCTCTGATTGTCTTTACAACTTTTTTTTTTCCACCCACAAAAGCAAGATGGCCCAGTAGGGGGAGCTCGAAGGCCAAAGAAGTAAGAAAGCAGCAGAAGTATACTATTTTAAATAGAGAGTGATGACAAACGGTAAATGTAAGCATAAACGGCTTAGAATATGCATGCAGTAAATACCTTTTAATATTAAGTCAAAAATAATTATGATTAAAGCTGTAGTTTCAAAATATTAAGCAGCTCTGAGTACAGGCTTCTGCCCGAATAAGTTTATTTCCCAGCCGCAAGTCTGACCCCCTCCTTGGGCTGGCACCTTGTCTGTGCAGCCTTGCACAAAACCACATCAGGCCTGAGGTACTTTTTTTTTTTTTTAAAGCTTGAATGGAAAGAGTAGTATACTACAAGGTGAACTAAAAGAACAAAAAAGGAGCTGCTTTATAACAGAGCTCGAGAAGCAAGAGTGAAGTAAGCTCTAAGGCCTAAATGCTATGGGACATTTACAGCAGCCATTTTGTCGCAGACAGGTGTCTATTTCAGTAGCACAGCCGCACTCCAACAGCCCTAGGCGCTCTTTCTCCCCACATCTACATAATTCTACACACCTTTCAAGGATACGCTCCGCTCCAGACTTCGCGGCCTCGGGGGAAAACACCTGCGCCAGAACAGCCGACGGCCCCCGCCTCACGGGGCGGGATGAGGCCGGGCCTCAGGACGGCGCCGCCACCGAACGGTCCCCGCCCCTCCCTTCCCTTGCCGGAGGCAGGCGGTACGGCAAGATTCACACTTACGGCTCGTTTGCTACGACGATACGTGTAAACAGCTAAGATCGCCCTATCACCGCACTCCGACCTCGCTTCTCCTCAGCGGCACACCGCACGCGCCACCCGCCTGAGCACAGGGTGGCCGCCGCGGGGGCCAGGAAAGCCGTCTGCTTTTGGAAGCTTCTGAGGAGAGCGGCAGGGAGCTGGTGTTTGGGCACTTATGTCCGTGGCGATGTTGGTGACTGAGGTTAGGGGGGTTGTTTATACCAGGAGGAGCCTGAAACTGAGTCAGAATATGAAGGAAGATGGCGGATGGGGGCGTGTGTGAGGTGACGTGGGATGGTGGGATAAAGCAAAAATCCACAATTTCTTAACAGTCGTTCAGCTTTTACTGTGCTCTTTCCTTGTGTTGTGTCTGTTAGATGTGGGGGTTTTAGGTGGAGTAAGAGTCAGTAGAGGGAGGGAAGTTAGGACGGTGAGTTGGTTGGTTTTTTTAGGAGCATTTGTATCAGAATACTGTATCTGGTTTTGGGCCCGTCACGACTGGAGGGACACTGAGGCGCTGCAGCGTGTCCAGAGAAAGGCAACGGAGCTGGTGAGGGGTCTGGAGCACAAGTCTTGTGAGGAGCGGCTGAGGGAGCTGGGGGTGTTCAGCCTGGAGAAGAGGAGGCTGAGGGGAACCTCAATCTCTCCAACTCCCTGAAAGGAGGGTGTAGCTGGGAGGGGTTGGTCTCTTCTCCCAAGGAACAGGTGATGGGACAAAAGGAAATAGCCTCATGTTTCCCCAGGGGAGGTTTAGGATGGATATTAGGAGAAATTCCTTTATGGAAAAGGTTACCAAACATTGGAAGAGGCTGCCCAGGGCACTGGTTGAATCATGGTCCCTGGAGGTATTTAAACGCTGGGCAGACGTGGTGCTGAGGGACACGGTGTAGTGGTGGTTTGGGTAGTGTTATGTTGATGGCTGGACTTGATCCTAAAGGTCCCATCCAACATAAGTGATTCTATGGCTTCTGTTGCGGGAGAGGCATCCTTTTACATTCTCTTAGGTTTTTCTCAAGGTAGCAGTTTTGGGTGATGGCTTTAGTGAGTTCTTGAATCTTTACAAGGTAAATATTCTTAGTGTTGGCTGTGAGTTTTGAGCAAACATTTGTGTTCTTGTTTAGTTCTTAATAACAAAATGGGTGATTTTTTCATTAGGAATGTATTAGGAGAGCTAGCCTTCCACATGGCTTTGCTTTATCATAGATACTTTGATAGGGCACTTACTGGTTTTGCACTTCTCAAACTGAGAGATTAGGAGTGGCTATTTATGTCTCTCAAATGTTATTCCTGAAATAGAAGTCTATATTTCTCTCTGTTTCTGAAGCAGGACTGTATATCTCATGCTACAGTATAATGCAGTGTTAGAGACTTACATGTAACCTGGATGGTATGCTTTTATGATATGGTATTCAGTAAAGCTAAACCAGTTTTGGCTGTTTCATTGTAGTGTGAAACTGGGAATAATTAGTACTATCTCTTAGCAAAGCATGTTGCTAGTTACACAGAGTAGCTGTATTCCTTTTTACTCAGCACTGACTTGTTTAACACTAGCTGTGGAAGGCCAATGTCTTGACTTTCCTCTCCTGAAGCATTTTAGTAGGCACCTACGTCCAGTGTGGATTCTTTTAAGCGGTAGACACTGCAGTGATGATATTGTGGTGTGCTGGTTTGTGCCAAAATGAAATGCGAATTACTTCAGTCTGTAGGTACCTTATTATCCATTGTAATTCTTAGGTAGGATATGTACTGTTGCAGGTACTGGTAAAAATTTCTGTTATCTTAAATTTGTTTGCTAAGATTAGGTTGCTTCTTTTGTATTATTTTTTTGGGGGAGGTAGGTTGTTTTTTATGGTTTTTTTTAATGATGTAAGCATTTTCCTCTAGCGTTTCTGTCCCTTTGGTCATGTAGATAAATTGTAGTAGCCCTTGTCTTCAATCAGCCTATTTCTGTTGACCTTTGAATGTAAGATAATCAGCTATATACTGAAAGTGGATCGAGGGTAACAGGTGTGTTTTGGTGTATGAAAAATTGGTGTGGTTGTATGTAAATAAGTATGGATGGCAAAACTTAATTAGGCTTTAATGTAGTGCATCATTAAGAAGGCTGGTTTGAGCTGTTTGATAAGTGTAAATCGCTTGCCTAGACTAATACTCCTGAGACAAGCAGCAAAAATCTGTAGGCTTGCTTTAGGTGTATGTTCTTCAGATATGCTTCAGAACAAGTGATGGCTTTAAAAACGGTTCATCAAATGTTTGTTTTTCTTTTACATTAGTGTTGAGGAAGACTCTAGCTGAGAAACATGGAAGTCTTGGTATTAGAGGTATGCTGGCATTTTTTTAAAGTCTAAAGGATTGGTGTTTGTTTATTTCAGTCCAACTCTATGGAAGTCAGATTTACAAATAAAATGATGCCTCTATTTCCATTCAGCAGTCATTTCTTACATGTGTGGGGTCATATATGGATTATAGACGTTTTGTCACTTCTGTTAAGTGTTTATATTGGTTTCATCTCAAAAGAGGTCAATAGGGATGCAGTTAAAATCTAAAATGGAAGATGCACAGTATAGTCTTTTAATGGAGTTTGGTATAATACTAGATTCTACTAAATTCCACCAGAGATCATGGAAGAATCATTTTCCCAGAATACTGGCAGGACAGCTGACTCCAACTGACCAGAAGGATATTCCATACCAAATTATGTTATGCTTGGCAATAAAAGGTACAGGGAAGGATCAGAAAAGGGGAACACTTCAGGTTATTGAATTTGTCTTTCTGAGTGAGCCCTGTTCTCGTAGAAGCGGCTAAACATCTGCCTGCCAATGGGAAACAGTGAATGCATTCCTTATTTTGCTTTGGTTGCATGCACAGCTTTTGCTTTACGCCTTCAGCTGTTTTTATTTCAACTTGAGAGTTTACTTTCTCATTTTCACCCTTCCACTTTTTTCAGTCATCCCACTGCAAGGGAGCAGCTGCGTGGTGTTTAGCTACTTACTGGGATTAACCCACAGCAACTGGGGACCCAGATCAGCCAAAAGACTGGCTTATAAAGGGTTACAAAGGCTGAGAAGAAAGCTATGACCCCATTCTAAAGAAACTGTTTTATAGACTCTCTGAGCATGAAGAAAAGCCCATTGTTGGGGTTTGTTGTGTGTTTTGGGTTTTTTATACATCTTGAACGTGGAAGTAAAAAATCTGTCATTGCACTTTGCCCACTGTTTGGGTTAACCAACTTGTTAGATAGCACTGCTACCTTTTAGACTACATGTGCTTCTATGTGCAGTGCTAAAGAAACTTGCAAGTCATTTAATGAATTAATGGTCTGAAGTTGAAAGATGTTTTGCTTGTTAACATTCTGTATGCTAAGTATCAGTCTGGGTAACTTTTAAGGTGCCTTGCTAAAGATTTTACGTTTTGTTTTTACATTTGCTGCTCAGATGTTCATAAAAACATGCTATCATTTTAGCCGGAGTTAACAGTATTTGTTTTTGTTGTCTACTCCTTGCCCCAGATTGAAGATCCAGGTTGCTTTTGGGTTACTATGAAAGGATGTGGGCCTTACGTAGTCGATGAAATAGAATATAAAAACCTGAATGCTGAAATGAACCAGTTCTATGAGAAATCTTATAAAGATGTGGATGAAGTAAAACCACTAACAGTAAAAGAAGGCCAGGTAAAATCATTGCTGTATTATGTAGATAGAAATAACCAGTTATTTGCATTTTGGGGGTGAAGTACCCAAGATATGCATTAATCTTCTTTTTAATACTGTTACGTAGAAAAGTAGATAACGACATCTGTATGGGTTACTTGCGTGGTATATGTAAACTTCATAACTACATAAACTGCAACACTTGCATTTTAAAAATAAAATTGAGGGCTGTATAATAAATACTATTTTCTTGCCTCTAAAAAAATCTTTGAGTGTGATTCGCTCCATTTACAAGAATTTGCTGTCTTGTTCTTTTTCAGATTTGTGTGGTTTTCAGTGATGAACTCAAATGCTGGTGTAGAGCGGTTATTAAGTCAATCATGTACTGTACAGACCATTATCAGACAGAATGTTTTCTTGTGGATTATGCGAAATACATTTTTGTTAAATCAAAGGAGTAAGTGTTTGGATTTTTTGACACTGTCACTGAAATGTATTTGTTAGTTAATGCATACAGATGCTATTAATATTTATTTAGATTGATATTGACAAGGCTTTGATTTAATTGAGGTGTAGATTGGGTCCACAAGAAACTGCTAGCCATGGGATAGGCCCTTGCAGGTATGGATGTACACCAGTCTTTGTGACTTTTTAAAGATGCTTTTTATTGTAGGGTTTGGGTTTTTAAAGATTTGAAATTGAAATAATGGCAGTTTAAGTCCGAAATACACGATTGCCAGTTAACATATTTATATATGCTTTTCTTCATTGTTAAGTGATTATATACTAAAAATTATAAGCAGTGAAGATCATTCACAAAACATATATGAAAGCAGGCTTCACTTACTGAAGCAGCTTTTGACATCTAGACACAAGTCCATGATGTTTTTTCCCCACTGCAATTTACTAGCTTGTTTACTTTCCTAAGAGCTGACAGTCTGTCTTCGTATGGTGTAAAAGAAGGTGAGTTTTCACAGGTTTCCAGTTTTAAATAAAATCACTATGAAACTTACCGTTTCTAAAATCTTGAAAAATAATTTAAAAAAAAAAACTGTTCTAGCTCTTAGCTAGATTTAAAGTTCATTTCTGTAATAAAATATGCAGCTGTGAGCATGAAAAGCTTTACCAAATGTTTTTTGCAGTATTCCACAAAATTAAGAAAGCTTTTTTTAAAATACTTGAAATTTAAAAAGAAATAATGTTTTTAAATTTAATGTTGCTATATTGGAAACCAACTTGAAAATGCCCTGAGTTTGAAATACATTTAAGTAGACGCAAATGTGTACTGCTTTTTCATTGTAAAATAAAAATTTGAACAAAAGCAGTAAATACATGAATCTTAAAAGCTTGCTATATGCAGTGCCTTGCTCATTATGAAAAATCTCCAACCAAAGCAAGTGTGAAGGATAGATGAACACTCTAGTGATAGCTTTATAAAGAATAAATTCTTTTTTTGAAAATGAGTACAGGTGCAAATCAGCGTACTTATTACATTTTCTTCTTGCTGATGTTAACCATACCTGGTTTCTCGCACAGAAGTAATAATTGCAAAATGGAATGTGCAGTGCGAGGTGGTATATGTGGTAGTATGAGGGCTAAATACCATGAAAAGATAAAGCTGTAGTGACAAAAGATCAGAAAGATTTCGAGTTAATAGAAAGTGTATTCATATCCAGAGCCAATCTGTTCACTAGTTGGTAGCACCTCTCTTGGAGAGAAAAATAACAATGGTTTGAGGGTGTCTCACAGTGGGAGGCAAACCTCTGGAAGAACTCTGTTGTTAGATGCAGGGTAATGGAAGCATGTATATGAGACCAATGATTTCTGGAGAGCAAAATCTGTTCAGTAAAATGAGAGTATTTCCACTTTGTTTTTAAGCATTCGTGTTGCACTGGAAGCATTTATGCAGATCCCATATAGAGCAAAGAAGTGTAGACTGTATCGCACAAAGCCAGTGACATTGCGTATTGACTTCTGTGAAGATGCTGCAAAAATAGTGTAAGTAGAGTTTAATAAATGTATTGTATTACTAAATTTCTCAAGTGTGAAGTGTTACTACAGAGTATCTTTTTAGAAGAGATTATATTTCAAGAAGAACATAGAAACAGTTTTCCAAATCTGATTTCCTGTTTCAGAGGAGCAGTTCTTAACTGGAACTGCTTCCTTAACGATTTGGGTTTTACTGTTCACCTGTTTGAATCTCTTGATATTTATTTTAAACCCTTCAGAAGTTCAGACAGGTTTCTGGTAGTTTTTGCCCTTTGTCTGTCATCCTAAAGCTGTGCTGCTTGCTTCCTAGAACATGAACTTCTTTGCTAATCTATCCTTATGTACTGTTCCTTATAGATGCTCATCTTACTCCTGCTGCTCTCTTTTTGTGGGATTTTCATGCTTAGCTGAATTGAAGTTCTACAGCTGTTTATAGGTAGCTTTGGTTTTCCCCATTCTGTCTTTTTCCTGGCCATATTTTGGTTTCCCATTGTGGTTTCCTTGTATTCATGTCAGTTTTTTTCCACTGCAATTTTGAAGGACTTTAGTTAAGGTTTTCACTGGGGTCTGGTGTAAAGAGAAATGTTTTTGTGTGCTTGAGTTCCAGGATGCTCTTGTCAAAAATCTTGCCAGCTTGTGAGGGACACTGGGGAGCATGGCTCCACAGCAAGAAAGCTACTTTAGTTTATGTCATTAAAGAATATTCAAAAATATGTGTGGTCAAGCAGTTTACTTTTTAAATACTCATTAGGAAGAAGAAATTAGTATTTGATTTCCAGAATTCTGACAGAACAAATATTAGTACAGTTTGGGTGGAATAGTGTGCATCTTGAGTGGGCCATCATTGTGAATTATCGAAGAAGTAATAAATTGTCATATTCTGCTTACAGTGCTCTTCACTTATTTTTTTTTTTATTTTATACTTTAAGTTGCAGAAGATGGTAAAGAGTGAACTTGATTTTCTGCTACAGATACTTCAGTGTTCAGCACTTCACTGTTCAAGGGCTTGTTCGAAATTGCTCAATACCTATTCATATGTTCTGCGAGAGGATTCTTCCTTTTTTTGGTGGTTCTGTTTCATTTCTAACCATTGTTTTATGCTGGATGTAAGCTGACGTACCTTGACAAAGCAATATCCAGTAATTTTTGATCAGCTTATTTTATTGATGAGCTGAAACAATATTCTCAAGAGTGAAATTACATTCTAAGTAGTAAGATTCTGCTAATGTGTCTATTTGGTGCACTTAAGATTTGGCATGACTTGGAATGATTTATTTACATGCATCACAAGTTTTTTCCAAAATTACCATTTTAATTTTTGATGATGTGGGATAACTGGTTGTGTTTGTTTTCCTAGACCAGCCAAAAGATGGGATAGTGCTGCAACTCAGTATTTTCAAAACCTTCTCAAAGGTAAATAAGTAAAACATCCTGTCAAAATCATAATTGACACTTCTGTTTTGGGGAAAAATAAACTGTTAGAGAAATGTAGTACTTGCATTTATATATTTAATTATATTTAAGAATGTTGTATATTAAAGAGGAAGGAGCTACAAAAGGTTTTTTGTGTGCACTGACTAAAGCAAAAATATTTGTGGATCTGCATCTTGAGTACTGTGGGCTGCATGAATTTGATAAATTAGGGGTGGATCTTCTGGGAAGTACTACTGAGGAAAAGGATCTGGGAGTCCTGGTGGATGGCAGGCTCTCCATGAGCCAGCAATGTTGCCAAGAGGCCAATGGAATCCTGGGCTGCACAGGGAGAAGTGTGGCCAGCAGGTCGAGGGAGGTCATTCTCCCCCTCTGCTCTGCACTGGTGAGGCCACAACTGGAATACTGTGTCCAGTTCTAAGCTTCCCAGTTCAAGAGGGACAGGGAACTACTGCTGTATTTTTGTAGTTTTGTACAGAGTTGGCAAGATCTGGTTTATGAAATTATCCTTTCAGTTGTTGCTTGACAAGGAGGTAAGCACGAGCTCAGAAGAGGTGTATCTCTATTATAGCTGTTAATAAGAAGGTTGAGCTCCTAGTAGTTACTCAGTAAGCTGGAAGTGCTTTTTCTCCAGTCTGTTCTTGTCCTTTCCCATGTTTGGTGTTTCAGTAGTTCATCCAGTCTTTCATATCAAGCCTTTTATTTTGGTATGAGACAGCTTTTGGTCTTACTAGAATAGCAGCTCCTTACTGGGATTTTTCTAATCTTCTTGCTCACATGCTTCTACCTGAAAAACTGCCTATCTGCTTGTTCGCAAGAGTAATAAACTCCACGTAAAAGGTATTTGGGGAGGAGAGGATGAGCTTATGAAAGCAATAAGGGGTCTTTAGGCTGATAATGTCCCACACTAACTGGGACATAGCACTTCTCATTACTTACTTTTCTCTCCCTGTCCTGTCCCCACCCCTGCCACTTCAGTATCACCATGCAAAGTAAAGGTTAGTAGGGAGAAATAATAACATTTAATTTAATTTCATAGGTATTCCCAGACTGTACCGTAAGTAGTAATGCATACTCTTTTTAATTGCTGGGACATCATTACTGTCTGCCAAAGGGCTTCAGAATTTACTAACGGACTTTGTCAGCTATGTTTGCTGAAACGAAGAGCCTAACCAAGCTATACAAATGTGCAAATAATAACTTCTTTCAAGAAAAGTAAATGCCTACTGTGGAAAGTATGCGTTTATCCTACAGATTGTTAGAGGCTAAAAGAGAAACTAAGACTTCCAGTGTACAACTAAGACTAGTTTGTGTGGAGAGGTCATTAATCTGTTTCAGCCTTCAATCTTGCTTCAAAGATTACTACTTCCTTCAAGGACAACTTTATTTTTGCAACTTCAAGGGTTTTTTGCCTTGTTACTTTCTCGTTTCACTAAGAATTATTACTTTTGTACTAGCTTCCCTAAAGAAATAGGTTATACATCTAGTTGTGCTTTCTATTTTTGTCTATCTCTGAAAGTACGAGTGAAAAATACTGATAATTTGATAAAAGTTTAATCTTTGTACTTGTTCTTATGTTTATTACTGTATTTAGGAACTACCCAAATGAAAGTCAAGTTATGTGCTGTAGAAGATAACACATTTGATGTATTTCTTTATGTGACAATAAAAGATGAGAAGGTGAGATGCTTTTATATCTACAAACCTGTTCATGCATTTTGCTATGTAAGTTATAACTTTGCGATTAATTCAAGACTGAAAAGCATTACTTGCAAGTGAGTTGTAATTTCTCTCAGATACAGTAGAAGTTATATCATATACTTCTAGGGGCTTGGGGGTTTTTTATATATCTGTTGCTTGTAAAATTATGGAGGAATTCCAAGAGACACAAATCCCATTTTTTCCTCTGTGAACTTCTTTTTGGAAGGTATTGACAAGGAAGCAAAGTCCAGCAAGTAGTTCAAATGGACAGCTATGTGTTTTAGTGCACTTTTGCACCTTTTTCTGGTATCATACTTAAAGATGTTTCAATAAGGCAATTGCATAGTATTATAACAATAAATAGAAATTCACACTTGCTTTTGCATAAGACTGAGTCCCCAGCCATTGGGAGAAAAAAAAACAAAACCACAAGTAGTTCCACTTGTCAAAATGTATAGTTTAGGCTAAATCTCTGCTGTAGCTACTGTCAGACTTAAGAGCTGTGTGGTAGATAAAAATAAATGTATTTGAATGCTGCCTCTGCTTGGTAGTGTTTTACCCAGGGTTTTAGCATGGGAGCTGTGGTCTTTGCCATAAACAGTAACTTTGAAGGTATGTACTAGTTTGAGTATCTTCTCTTGGTTCAGAATCGCAATCGGAAATAGTGTCACTGATCTCTGAGCCAATGGACTTTAAGAAGTTTTAGGTTTAATATTACTTCTTTCTGCCAGCTTCTGATGCTCACTAAATCAAGAAGAAATAAACTGGCTTGACTTACTAACAGATTTTTATGTTTAGGGCTCATAGAAAAAGTTAATTGAGTACAGAATTTTAGGCAGAAGGGTGAAACTGACAACTAATTAACACCTGTTTAGAGAACATGCAGGAAACTGACTGACTTTTCCTATTCTGGAGTTAATAATCTTTAGAAAGCATTTGCTGATACTACTTATGTCTTACTGCTATTGTTTAAAGTGTCAAATAAATTCTAAGCAAGTATATGGTGGTGTAGTTTACTGCTTGTTGATACTGGTCCATAAAGATCTTGTTTTTTTAGGTATGTGTTAATGATGATCTTGTCTCAAAGAACTTTGCTTGTTTTGAGGAAGCTAAAGAGAATGTAGGGAGTTCTGCAGATGATCAGGAGAACCAAACATCACTAAATGTTGAGTGTCTTCCAGTGAAAATGGTTAATCCTGCACTTGCTTTCAGGCCAGTGCTATTTCAGAAGAAGGCATCAACAAGTCTTGAAACAGGTGGGAGCCATGTGTGTCAGAAATAGTCATACATGCAATAGATTGTGTCTTTAATTGGATATATTGAACATGAACCTACTGTCTCAGTTCAAATCCAACAATTAGATAAAATTATATTCTTACAGACAATAATGCTATATCATACTTTACAAAAATTAATCAAATTATTAGATGCAGGAAAACTATAAAGCTTTTTGTATTGTCTAAGATGAAGGCTGAGGATGAGTTACACAGGCATTTGTTGATATGCTTAATAGCATTAGTCATTACTGAAATTACTTGTGGCATTGATCAGTGATGCATTACTGTTTAGTTTTTTTGAGTTTGAAGGGATTTGTTTGAACAGAGGTACTTTTGAAACTAGTGTTTACCATTAATGCAACTTTTTGTCCTCCATCCTTGTTCACTCAGTTCACCTGTATAATTATAGAATCACAGAATCATAGAATGGTTTGGGTTGAAAGGGACAGTAACTGGTTCCAGTCCCCCTGCCCTGGGCAGGGACACCTCCCGCTAGACCAGGTTGCTCTTTAGAGAAAGATAACTGTTTTTTTGGTTGTTCTTTCTGCCATTAGGAAATGATACAAGCAACTAAACAAGTCACAACTCACTGTAAACAAAAGTACTGGCTTTTTATGTGTTCAGATAATCAGAAATGTGTTTCTGCGCTTTTGACTTGCCTTTCTAGATCTTGCTGTTTCTAGTTCCTTTTTTGAGGAGGCTTACCAAAGGTCAAGTACAGATCTAAATGAAAATACTGCATCTGTAAGTATTGTATTTTGTATTAAATTGTCAAAGATGAACTAAATTAAACATATGTAGGATATATTAGGAATACTGTAGTCATCTAGCTTGTTCTTCTATGTAACATAGAGCTGGGGGACTTGATAAATATACTACAGTCCTTGAAAAGGTTGTGCCTCCTCCTGTTGCACTTCTTTGCTATAGTTTTATGAAGATGATAGCTGTCTACACTACACAGTTTTCTGAATATATTAAAATGTAAATCTTAATGTTTCCCTGAAAACGAAATAGTCCTTAAGCTGTACCATGGTAAATGTTGCCAAGTCATGCTTGTTAGTTGCTGGTGACTAACAATGAATGCTAGAAAGTCCCCTTGTTCAAAGCCAGACATCTTGTGCATAACTCTGGATCGAGTATCTGTTACTGGTTACCCCCTTGAGGATTTGCAGTATTATTCCATTTAAGTTCATGTGCATTGTCATTGTAAGTGTGCAGCTGGGTAACCTGGTTTTGTTTTTAATCTTTTCTGGTGTGCAGGCCTTCCATGATTTTTTTTAATTTTGTTTTTAAAATGAAAAGAGTTAAAAACTAATCAGTACATGTTCATACAGGTCCCCAGTTACGTTATAGCTTCAGATGTGACCATGGAGTAGTTTTTCTTTTGTGTGGTGTTTTGTTGCATGCTTGATTCCTAGTAAAGGAAGTACTGTTCTGTAACAAGTCAGACCGTTTTCTGAAGCTTGTTTCATCAAAATTGTTGCTTTATTCAAACAAACTTACAATTTGTACAGAAATTCTCCAAAATATTTGGAGGATCACAGAGTTAGGTAAGAAGACCACTTCAAACTAAGTAGACTAAAGAAATTTTTTCTAAAATGCTGTTCTTGGACGGTATTTTAGTGCTAAAAACGTGTTTGTCTTTTCTTGATAGATTGTTAAAGCAATTCCAGGTTTGCCTTTCAAGGAAAATACAGCAGTTCATGCAGACAGGTATGGTGGCAGTGTGTTAATTATTTTAAATAGTTATGTAATCAGATAATTAGGAGCTGCAGTGTGTTTCCAGTTACTATTCTTAGGCAGATGAAAGAGCAGAGGGTGTGAGACGATGCATTCGCTTGCTTTCGGAGAAGGGAATTTGAACCTGCTGATACTTATCCAGACTACAATATAAATAGCAAAAATAGCTTGACAAGAAGGATGTGATGGGGAAGTATTTTTTCTGCACACTAAACATGTTAAGTTGCTTTATTTTATTCTCAGTGTGATTTATGACGTTTTCAAACTTAGGGAAATACGACTATGAATTGATTTGTGCAGTGCTTTTACTATGCTGCATGTCAGTTGATGCATTCATGATAAACCCAAGGAGTGTTTTTTAAGTCAGTTTCTAGCTGCTGCAAAGATACATTGTTTCATTTTTTTGAAACCTCAAGAAACCTTTTTCCACAGTCCATTCTGATTTTCCTCTCAAGCTACCTACCTACTGGGGATCCTACCAGTTATCTTGCTTAAATATTTTCCTCATTATTATTTTCAGATATTTACAAGCTTACACTGAATTTTGTTTTCAAAATAGTACTTTTTATTTATTTTTTTCATGTTTGAGGATTTTCCTCCTTGCCATAGGTAATAAATTGGAAATAATTTGTGAGTGAATTGCTTCATGACACTTTACAAATATTGGTGGTATTTCTAAACTACATTTTACTTTTACATTTGTGTTGGATTTAATATTTGTATGTTTCTTAGGCTTCAGCAGTTCTTAAAATCTGATCCTCTAAAGATTCACATAATTGAAGATGACCAACAGGTATTTCAAGCATTAATTTCCATGTAACTTTTCTTGTGCAAATGTATGGCGTTATGTGGAAGGTTTTGGTAGTGTTGGGGCTGTTTATGGTCTTCATGGAAGGAGGTCAGGGGCCAATTCCAGCTGCATTGGCAACAAGACCCACTGCAGGCCAAAGCTGAGCCAACCAGCAAAGTTAGTGGTGCCTCTGTGAAGACATATTTAAGAAAGGGTGAAAAATGCATAGGGGGGAAACAAAAACAAAAAAGCAAACTGGAGGCAATGCCAAGGTCAGAGGAGTAGGAGGCACTCTATGCCGAAGCAGGCGTACCTGAAGGGACTGCAGTCTGTGGATGACCCACAGTGGGTCAGAGAGAAGGAGCAGCAGAGAGAGATGCCTGTGTTCTCACAGAAGGCCATGCCCTGCACTGCTCACTGCCTCAGCACTGGGACCGAGTGTAACCTGCAGAGATTGTAAGGGAAGAGGAGAGGCGTTTGGAGTGAAGTTGAGCCTGGAAATGGGCGAGGAAGGGTGTTTTTCTGAAGTGTATAAATTTTTGTTTCCCAATAACCAAATCAGTACTCGTATATAGTAATTGGCAACAAATGAAGTTAACCTAAAGTTGAGTCTGATTTGTCTGTGTCAGTAGTTGTTAAGTAACAGCTCTGTCTCTCTTGATCTGTAAATCCGCTTGCTCACTCTCCCTGTTTTTCTCCCTCATCCCTCTGGAAAGGGAGGGAGCAAGTGGCTGTGTGCCAAGGCTGACCCATCACAGCAAATCTTACTAGTTATCCTATTAAAATATATTTTGATGTTGGTTTTTTTTATAGCTGCACATTAGCTACACACAGAACATCTAGTGCATTCTCTTGAGTGGTTTAAAACAGTTGTGGTAAGACAATATTGATAAATCTTTCTTTAAGAAATACTAATAAGGAGTATTTGTCTCACCACTGGTCTGTGTAACTTGGCAGTATGTGTGAGTCATATCTAAAATGTATGTATTTGGCTATTTTTCATCAAAATACCATTTTTTGGATACAATAAATGCTTCTGAGTCGTATGCAAGCTGAAATGCTTTTAATAAGTGTTGCCTTTGTCATCTATTTGTCATACAGTTTCAGAGTGTTCAAAGTTCTAGTGAAGAAAAAAACTTTGTCTTTCTTAGCAACAAAGTTGAGCCATCGTCAGTTCTGGAAACAGCACCACTTTTTGATGGTCTGAAAAAGGTAATGCTAATGTAGTGTGTTATACTGAGTATCTTTTTAAGGCTAGTATCATACCCCAACTTTTGATACTAAATATTATAGCAATGCCTAACTTTGAGGAATGGCTAGGAGGTTGTTCATATGGTTCAATAAATGAAACTTCAGAGAGATGCTGTAAGAATTGTACACGTTTCTTCTGGTGTATCAACCACTGCCACAAGTCATGGGATTTGATTTTTAACATCATAATTTAATTCCTCAGCCTAGAATTCTTTCATATTGCATGTTAAGGTCACTTATTATGAATGGGTTAAAAGCTTTTAAATCACTCAGTATTGTGTTTTGTCTTGTTTTGTTACTGTGTTTAAGTACACAGTTTTCATGTGGAACTCATAATTTTTCTTTCTGTAGGAACTTACTCGGAAAAAATTTTTAGGCCCTAACTTCACAGAATCTTACTGTTGGCCGCCAGTAGCTCGAGGATGTGATGTAGTTGCCATCTCGTATGAGGGAAATGATCCTTTTTTATACATTCCACCAGTTCTTACATTTTTGCAGTCTGGAAGTTGCTACCAAGCCTTGCCAAACAGGAATGGAGTATGTATATATTAGAGTAGTAACAAGTTTTCTGTTCTATGGGGCAGGTGTAAAAATAATGATTCAAAACATAGTGGATGTTTAGATCTTAGTGTATCTTCCTTGCCAGTTTGTATAAGCTGTGTAAGTCTTCTGCTTATATAAACTTACAGGCTTACAGAGATGGACTGCATGAATGTGGGAGCCTAAAACTTGTTTATCAAGTAATATCTAAAAAGTGGTTAATGTCATATCATTTGATACTGCATGAGGCTTTGATTTTAAGGGAATAGTATGTAGTCATTAAATAAAAACTTTTGTTAGCTGTTCTAATTAGCGTAATTGATTTTCTAACTTGTATTAGATCACAGAAACAGAATTATGAGGGGTAAGGGACCTCTGGAGATTGCCTAGTTAAAACCCTAAGCTTCTGTTAAATTTTTGTACCTTTTACTGTATGTTGCAGCATGCATTCTTTCTGTCTTCAGGTAGCCTGGTGTATGGTTCCTTGGGTCTGTAACATCTGCATTTAGGAGGTGATATAGTACTAAATTTTCAGTTTTAAAGTACTTCAAGACCTGTGTTGCAGATTTTGTTTTTGCCCTAAATGCTGAAGTAATACAATTCTTAAGATTCTGAACTCTTGTCTAATACTATGGTGTAAAATTTTTGTAGCCACTAGCACTTATTTTATGTCCTGGGTGGAAGAAGGCACAACTTGTTTTTGAGCTACTGAAAACATACGAGAGATGCTCCAGACAGCTTCATCCAATGTTGATAATACTTGGGCAGAACGAAGAAGAAACTAGAAGTTTGAACATCCAAGGATGTAAGAATACTTTGTCATCTTAATTATGTTTGAAAAGATTGTGGGCTGCCTTAATTGCAGGAAGTTATGAAAGAAACTCTTTATACTTTTTTTTGGTGCTATAAAGTGATAATTCTGTTTCTTTAGTGCTTAACTGTAGTGATACATGCAGTTTTATTAGTGCTATTTAACAGTAAGTGGTATTAAAGCTGTTCAAATGTCTACATGTTCAGCATCTTTTTTTAAGTTTTATAGCAATGATTTTTGAGCGAAATTAGTGATAGAGACTCAGTGAAGATCATGCTAAATTAGGACTAATTGTGGACTTTCTTGATTTAGAACCAGATTTCATAATACTTTGTTTTGATACATGAGCATCCATTGCTAGACAGAGGTACTATGTATGTCAGGGATGGAATTAATTCCCTTCACCATCTGTATGGTGGTGTGTTCTGGATTTGTAACTGGAACAACGTGGATAGCACACCAGCATTTTGACTTTTGTTGGGCTTCCCAGCAAGTGGGCAGTGGGTGGGCAGGAAGCTGAGAGATGACACAGCCTGGTCAGCTGACCCAAACTGACTAGAGTGGTAAACAGCATTGTGTAATGTCAGGCTCAGCAACAGAAACTTGAGGGGTGGGAATGATCTCATGAGTGGCTGGGCATCTGTCTGCTTGTGGGGTGTTGTCAATGTTGCCTTTGGATTGCTCCTCCCACCCCCCCTTCACTTACTATGCTGTCATTTTCTTGATGCGTGAGTTTTCTCACTTTGGCAGTTCCTGTTCTCTCCCCCATCCCAGTGGGATGGGGGCAGTGAGTGAGCATCTGTGTGCCTCTTAGCTGTTGGCCACATTCAGCCCACCACAGTAATGCATATGTATGTGTTCTTTAGCAGTATTTTTAACAAATACATAATTACTTCAAGTACATGGGTTTTATTTTTAAAATTCACAAATACTTAGGGGACATGTCTTGCACTGCTTTACTGCTTATATACACTTAAAATTAATAGAATTGTGTTAAAATAATACTGGAAAATTGAAGGATTAAAAAGGCAATAATAGTTCTCTGCAGACAAAGTTGCATAAGCGTCCATCTTAAATTTCAGTTTCAAGTAATGTAAATAGTGCTTTCTAACTTGTTTGTTGCAATAAATTCTAAGTAATTTTTGCACATAACTTCAGTAGTATGCAGAGAATACTCCATGGAGAAGAGGAATCATGGAAGTAGTAAAAGATCTATTGGGAGATTTGCCCTATTTTAGTATATTTTTTTAAAATGCTTAGTTTTACTATTCTTGTTTGGTCTTTTTGTTAAGCCTTAATTGATAACTGTGTTTTTAAAAGTGGCTTTCTTTGCCAAGGAAACAAGAAATATGGATAAAATTATGAAGGACTGTGTAAAACTTCCAGTTTCAGCAGTTTATATTCTTATATCTATCACTCAAGTTTAAGAGCCTGGTGGAATGAATTCAGATCTCTTATTAGTAGAGCTGTTGATATATTTGCACAGATTGAGATTGGTATGTTTTCATTTTTATACATGTGTACATGCACACACATATGTTTGTGTAGATATTTAAGCTACAGCATGTGCTTTATTCCATTTTTAAAATTGAACTTTTCTAAGGGCTACTCTTGAACTTATTTAAATATTTATCTTCTGTCTATCTGGTTCTGAAGATCTTATCTCTACTTCATTACCTTATTGGAAAATGAAATGGCATCCTGCTTTGTAAGCTTGTTAACGTTCAAACTTTTCACTCTTCCAAAAACTCAGGAGTTTTACCCAGTCAGGTCTTGAAGACATGCAGGGGTAAAAAAATATTACAAAATTATAAAACATTTTATAACATTATAAAAATGGCTGTTGACCAGTCATCAGAAATTGGAGTTCAGTTTTCTCTACTTAAAAAAAAAAAAAAAAAAAAAAAAAAACAACAAAAAACCCCAAAAAACCCCAAAAAACAAACCCAAAAAGCCACCCAAGGCCAACTCTCAACTTCCAGTTGATGCATCTGAAATGCAAGTGTAGCCTAGTAAAAATCATATTGTATGGTGTCTTATTAATATTTTTTTCAAGTTGCAAGGAAATGTTAACAGTCTTTTCTTCCTACTTGTAGGTGAAGTAATCGTGACTACACCATACAGTCTCCTGAGACTGCTCGAACATCACAATTTATTATTTTGTAGACTTTGCCATCTTGTTCTTGATGAGATTGAGGTACTGTTATCTGATGCTACTGAACAGGTAAGCATCTTATATGTGCAGATGGTAAAATGCCATTCCAGTTGTGCACGTGTCTTGAAAACAGTGACACATACAGGAAAATAACAACCTTCTTAAACCCCCGAGGTGGAGTAAAGAAGAAAACACAATTAAAAAAACCCATACCTGTATACTTCTGGCAGAATGAAACACTGGAAAAGAGAAAGTGAAATCTGTTAAATCTGACTTCTCCTGCTGCTGGTTTTGTTGTTTGTTTTTTTGGGTGGTTGGTTTGTTTGTAATCAGAGAGCTCTGCCTTGTCCTGTTCTACACTGCTTCTCCATTATGCTGTCTTCCGTTGCTGTGGATGGTTTCCCAAGGACTTGCATTTTTTCAATAGTAGCAGTTTAATCTACTTTAAAGACTTCCATTATCTATCTGTAAGGAACTTCCTTTTCGCTCTTACCAGTGCTGTTTGAATAGCTTCAGTTCAAGAAACATCTTTATTAGTGAGCTCTCCAGTCTCTGTAGAATGAAAGACAGAAGTGAATGATCAAATAGTCTTGGAAGCAATTGTAAAAACTTCCCTTGGGTGTTAGTGTATTAATGTCAGTGCAGACAAACAGAGAAGCTGATCTCAAGCCAAAGAATCATAGAAGAGGAACAGCATTAAGCTTCATGTTGACAAAGATGCGAGTATTGTATCACTTCTTAAGTGATGTCTTATAACTCAAGTTTGAGAAAATTCCATGGTTTGTTTTATTGCTGCTTTGAGGCTTCATAGGACAGATGCTTTCTGTTAGTATTACAGCATATTACATCATCACTATAAATCATTAACTTACTACCTGTTTAAAACTTGGCGATAAGACTAAAGGGTTATGTTTCTAACTGTGAAAAGCTAGATAAACTTCTTAACGGAGATAGGTTGCCTGGTTCACTATATGTGGAGCTATGAAATGTGCCTTTGTAGCAGCAGATCTCAAGTCATAAATTAGATTAAATGCTATCCAGTGAAACATTTTGGTTTTTCTGTCCAGGCTGTTCTGTCTGTTGTGTTCCTGTATTTCTTGAGACATGGTGCAGGTATACCATATGAAGATTCTGGGAAAGGTAGTTTGTAAAATACTGTGCATGTATCTGCTATTTCTGTAGGATCTTTCCAGCTTCTCCAGTCTTGATTGGGAAAAAAAAATCCACTCCAGATGGCAGTGATCATTTGATAATATGAGAAAAAACTTCTTCACAGTAAGGGTGACAGAGCCCTGGAACCGGCTGCCCAGGGAGGTTGTGGAGTCCCCTTCTTTGGAGATTTTCAAGACCCGCCTGGATGCTCCTGAGTAACGTGCTCTGACAAGCTCTAGGCGATCCTGCTTCAGCAGGGGAGTTGGACTAGATGATCTCTATGGTCCCTTCCAACTCTAAAAATTCAGTGAAATAATGTTTGGACTATTGGAACTCTTCTAAAGCATTGTTACAGAAGTGTTATATTGCTAAAAATATTGCTATGGGTAAGTTTAGTGCCAGGTTGAGAGAGATCTCTTGGAATTGTGTCAGAGCCCTAGAATACTTCTTAGTATGATAGTTTTTGCCAGAAATCCTGGTGTTCTTCCACAACTGGACTGCTTGTCACTTACATAAGGTGGTGTCATCAGGAATATATTCATTCTGTCTTAGTGTTTTTTATTTTTTTATAAAAGATTTTATGGCACCCCCATAATTTTTTTTTTGGCAAGTTACTCGATTGGCACGTTTGGCTTCTTTTCTATGATCCTGTGTGCATGCACATACTGTTCCTTCATACTGTCTTGTTGCTTTCCTCTTTCTTCAGAAGTAGTTCAAATAACGCACAAACCAAACACTTTGTTTTGGGATGTGAAATTTGTGTTTTGCTGCAGTGGTGTTTTTGTGACTGGAAAAAACATTGTGCTGAACACAGTATGCTTTTCACTGTTGTTACATACTCACTGGAATTGGGTAAGAGGATAGAAAAAAAACCTTTTTTTCTTTTCATAGGTTTTTACTATATTAGATTGTTATAAGAAAGCCATTATTACTGAGAAGTGGGAGTATTCACTACATCAGATTATCGCTGTTGGAACTTGTTGGAATAAATATATAGCACGCTTGATAAAGGAGTTTATGAATGATCCTTACATTGTGATAACAGCTGTGGAAGAAGCTTCCATCTATGGAAATGTGCAACAGGTAAAAATTGGGGGATTATGTCACTACATATTTACTAAGATATTTTGATGTTTGTACTGATCGAGGTCAGTACACATGGCTACTGATTTATTTTAAGTGGGTAGTGCTGCGATCCTAACTCAGACTGTGCGGGTGCACTTCCCGTGTATGAACTGAGGTGACTTAGACCTGTGCAAGTTAATAGCTGAATGAGCTGAAGGTCTTTTATTGTGTATTGTAGGACTGAGACAAACATACTCCCTCAAGTGTTTCATTGTTAGCGCAAATGAATCTGAATTTGCAGTATTTGCAAATGGTATAGTTTGTGACCAGAATTTTGTCATAGTGTTTTTGCAATTGTTAATGGCAGAACTACAAGGTAAGTTATCCCAAGACAAGAGATAGTAAAATACTTGGGTTAGTGCTGTGTGCCACACAATACTGACTTAGTTTGACCTAAAATTTGCAGACAGTTATTACACGTTCTTAGGTGTCTTCTCATTTACTTTCCTGTCAATGTGGTGTAGCCCTGACGAAAATAACACAAAAATGTTGTACGATCTGAATTCTTCTGTGTCTCAAACTGTAATAGTTTGGGATTGAGAATGTTGGGACACTTCTAAGACTAGACATTCTGAACATGACACAAAACAAAAACCACCGCTTCTTGTGAGAAGTCCTATTTCTGTCCTGCTGCACAATTAATAAGAGTATTTCAGGTGGTGCGGTATGCTTTTGTGATTGTGAAGCTTTTTTAATGGTACTTGAAAATGCCAAACTTAAATGAATGAAAAATCTTAACATGAGATTTGGATTATGTGTTAGATTTAAAGTATGCTTCTAGAAGCCATCCTACATGCGTACCTTCTGTGAGAGTTGTATTTTCTGTATGTTTAACAGAACACCTGCCACTTACTGGAGCTACCATTTGCTGGATTCTCTTTGGTATTACATAGCAATTCTTAGTCCTTATTAAAAAGAATTGTATAGTAAAATGTGCACAGATCATGAAAATTATCAGCTCTCTATTTTTTCTCTACTTCTAGGTTGTGCAACCTTGCACAAACAGTGACAGAATTGGTATGTTACTCAAAATACTGGATTTTACTGACAATAATCTTCAGAAGGTACTGGTATTCACTAATTCAGTAAATGAAGCAGAAATGGTTCATAAGGTAAAGTATTTAAATTTACATAGGTAAGAACTTTCTTTTAGTTGTTAAGGTATGATAAACTAAAATACCTTGGCTTAGAGATAATAAAGGAGTGTGAATTTTTAAGTTAATTATTTCTGCTAAAAATAACTCCAACCTGCTTCTTTGCCAACTAGAAGAAAGCTGAACTGACAGGAACACCTGGCATAGAATGCGTTCATTACTAAATTCTTAATTATGTTTTGTCAGGTTGGAACTTTGAGTTGAATCAAACTGACTTTTTTCCCATAAATGTTCTGTCTGTTCTTTTAATTTTATTTTTTTTATTGTATCAACAAGTTGTATGGGGGAGAGAACTTAACCCACTGTGTTAAAAAGTTCTGTTCTGTTGCTTTCTATTCTGGAGCAGTTGAACTTGTAGAAGGCTGTTTCTCTGATTTGAAACGTTTTTCTGTCATCCTTTGAATGTCTACCTGAAGTTAGTTAAGCTTCAAGTCATAGGGCATGGGGGAAAGATGACACGCTTAATATGTATTTTCTTAAAAACTAGCATAAAACTTCTTAAAAATTGCCTGCAATAGGGGATGCTCCAGGTTTACACATTTTTCTGTGGGTTTGTATACTCAACATTTCAGAGGTGGAGACTTAGAAGGAGTTTTCCTACAATACCTTTTTCTTCAGATATTATAGCAATGAATATATATATCTGTATAACAAAATAGCAATAGAAAAATCTCTTCTGTACTGTCATTCACTCTTGTCTGGTCCTCCAACAGTGCAAAGTAAGAGGAGTGCAATCTGATTTGACTGGGAAACAATTCTGTCAAGCTTGGATAGGGTGATGCGGATGATGGGAATGATATTGCTAAAGGAGGCAAGCTATGAGGATATGGGAATTAAAACCTTTGGTGATAGCCAAAGGATGTGTGCTGGATTGTTCAGATGTCATAAGAGATATGTCAGTCCTGAAACATGGGAATGTATTGCCTTCAAAAAGCTGGAATAGGTCTTGTGATAAATATTTAAGGAGTTGTCTTATGTAAATGTTAGAATATCTGGAATGTTTAGTCTTTCACAGTTGTTAATGGAAACAGATCTGGTTTTGTCTTGATGCTTTCTAACACGTTTTCCTTGAATATTTGAGGGTTAATTTCTTAAGCATATCAAAGCCAACCCACTTTAAAAAAATGTTGGTGCTAAAGAAATATTGAAAATGTTGATAGTAACCGTTATGTACACCAGCTTCAACTATCTTCAAAAATATTTTACATGTTAACTTAGTTCATTAGACATGACAGTTTACCAAATAACCAAGGCTTTTGTAGTAATTAATTTGTGAACCTTGAACTTGACAAATATATAAAGCCTTTTGAGAATACTGCATTGATGTAAGTTAAGTATGGGTAGATCTGGTACTTGCACAAGAAAGAGTTAATCCCATAACTAGCATTAATAGGTAGAAGAAAAAAAGTAAGCCACTAAAGGGTTTTTAACACTTTCTCTGAGAGACTGAAAGGTCAGCCTGCATGTTGTTGGATGATAGAATCCATTTGGAACAGAGACCACCTCAATAGTGGAAAAAGCTTCAAATGGAATTTGTACTTTTTAAAATGTCTGTTTAATGTATTAACCCATAGGAACCTGAGCCTTATTTAGTTTTCTTTTTATACAGAAAATTAATAAACTTAATCTCTGTAATCTCAATTATTTTTATTTTCATATAACAATCTAAATTTCATTAACTCTTTCCCTTGTCTCTCTTCCCAGTAGCTAAGGTATGTTAGATACTAATAAGATAGACTGTTTATTATAGCAGTGATTGCTGTGTTGGGAGAACGTAAAAGTTTTTCCTTTGTCATCCAGGCACTGAAGAGCAACTCCATATTTTCCTTGAAAATACATGAAGAGAGTGAGTTTGATTTCAAGTATATCTTAAATCAGTGGACAAAAAAATACAGTTCTGGCACTCGTGTTGTGTTAGGTGAGTATTCTCTTTTTGTCTGGTTGTGATTATGTCTTCATGGTGACTCGCGTTCTACGCAAAATACTTACACTAGGTTATCTCATCGCTTCCACAGGGTCAGTTCCCTGTGAATTCTTTCTAGTTATCCCTTCACTTATTAGTACTACAGCTAGTCTCTTTTCTTTTGTGGCGGTGGTTGTGGTTCCTGGGTTTCAGGGTTCACTGCTGCGAGGGAAAATCTTACTTAGGGGAAACAAAGGAGGATTTTTTTGATGCATTAGTTAAAAGAACTACTAATACTTTCAAAGAATTTCCCTGTGTTTCATAATTGTCTACTACTACAGAGGATATTTTCAGTTGAAATAATTTAGGTAATCTGAAGATTTATTGTAGTAATTTCCCGTATGTTCTATTAGAATCTTACTTTTCCAGTTGTTTGCAGTAGCAGAGACTCTTAGCCAGTTTCAAACTCAATTTTTTCCATTTTATACATGAAAAGCAAGAAGATTGACTTAATTACATCTGCTTGTACGTTCATACAAAAGTGTTAGCATTCCTGCATTACTTCAAATGTTTTCTGTATTGTGAAGTACTTGGCTGTGGGCAATTCTTTTTTATTCTGTGATACTGATGTGAGATACAGAATGATGCTAGATTATTACAGACTAACATGAAATGCTGTCTGCCATATGCCTATGAAATTTATTGACTGAAGAAATACAATGCTTTATGTAAGTGTATTGGGAAGACCTTTTTATTAAGTCAATAGATGGGGAGAAGGAAACAGCCATTGCTAATGTGGTGTAATATTTCACATGCTTGAATATTACAGTTACCTTATATGTGTGTGTAAAACATGTGCTTAGTTTTAACAGATGACTGCATGCAGTCTTTGGGAATTACAGATGCAACTTGCGTGATACATTACAGTCTTCCCGCTCCAAGAATCTTTGGTCAACGTCTACGCAGCATGTCTGACAACTTCTCTAATGTGATAGAGGTTTGAGTAAATCTTTAATACTACATTTGATTATTAAGTGGTAGATACATAAAAGCTATTAAAAAGGAGACTTTATTTATTTATTTATTTATTTATTAGGATTCTTCTGTAGATCAGGAATATGCAAGGGCAAGATCAGTCATTCTGCTAACAGAAAACAGTGCATGTCATGCACCTGGGATCCTGTGCTATTTGCAGCATGGAGGAGCTGAAATTCCACCAGAACTGCATGATTTTACTGCCAAGGTGCTAGAAGCTGAAGAAGATAAGAAATTTTCAAGGCCACTGTGTGCCTGTCTTAAAGCATTTGGATTTTGCAAGTAAGGAAATACCAAGTTTTCTTGACACCCATACTGACACAGGAATGCATTGTGTGCCCTGAATGATAACTGCTTTTATTTCCTCAATGAGTTTTCATGTTGGGTACTTCTATTCAAACCATCTTTTTCTCATGAGAGTTTTTTTTTTTGTTTCTGTTTACTGTTGCATCTGTTTCGCACTTCTTAGGTACCTTTATGAAAACAAAAATATTCACTTTTTTATGGAGACCAATCATACATAATCTGACATAATAGCATGATTAGTTATAACTCCTGCCTAGATGTACTTGAGGGAACTTTAAGCCATTGTTTTCATTAGTATTCTAATCATAGTTGCCAAGGCTTGTGCTTTACTCTATGCCCTGTCCTCTCCTGTCCCTCCAGAGCAGGTAAGTAGATGGTGATTTCTCTGAGCTGTGTGTAACTGGATCATAAGTAGTTCCTGAAGAGGTTTCCACCAAGAGGTTTTTGGCTGTTTCTGTCTAATCCCCGGGGTCATTTGTGCTATTTGAGACAAACAATATTGAGGGCTGATGGTGTTTTAGTGTTTGAAGCTGTTCTAAGTCACATCAAAATAGTTTACATCTGAAAACAAAGGGCTTTTTTCTAAAACCATTGTGTTTTTTTTAATACGTAGGAATAGAACAGCGTGTCCAGATCGTCATCAAATAAATTTACAAATAGATGTGCCTCAGAATATACCAGATAAAGTTACACAAACACCTGCCTGTGTGACAGTAAGTTATTATATTCCTTGGTTTTGGGTACCAAGAAAGCAGATCTTAAATAGCTACTTACACATTACTTAATTTTTCATATTAAGTCAATATTTCTGTGGTATGTATACTCTATCTTTTGAGTATTTGTTATTTTTTAGCTTTTTTCATCTATCCCTTGCATAAATAAGCGTGCCAGTTGATTCTGGGTTTACCCCAGATTTTCTGCTGTATTGAAGATTCTTGTTTTATGGGAAGAGGGCTTCTGTTCTGTCTATTCATTCCCTCTATAAATTGAGACCCTGTACCAAAACTAGCAGGTTAACAAACACTCCTGTAAACATCAATTATATTAACTGTAGAGGAAACACAGCTTAATCTTTTGGAGTGAATAGAAGTTGAAGTGGAAGGTGATGCATGTTTTGTTGGAAGTGATGATTTTTTTTCTTAGCAGACTTGTTCGTGCAAACTTGTTGAAAAATCAGCATATTCTGGCCTTGTCATTTCAAACGAGTATTTGCAGTATCCACAGAAAATAGGATACAGCTCCTCCCGTATCTTCTAGATGGAACATTTATTTCCTACTAAGATGTCAACGCTTCTTGAAAACCGTTTTGATACAGAGTGCTGTTCCGATTGGACTTTTTTAATAGTTTCATAGGGATGAAACCTTTATTGTTATTGGGCTGACTTTGCTATGATGGTTTTTCACATCCCAGTAACAGTTCGTATTTCCACCTCCCTTCACCTGGTTTTTCAGTCCCTTCTATATTGGAATGTCTTCCCATACAACAATATTGTACAGTCTCTCTTGTCTCCCTGTTGGATAATGATTGGTGAGGGCAAGTGTGTAGACACTGATGCTGCTTTTCAAAGTTAGCACTTGGGTCTAAGAAGTGTCGGATGCCTTCCATTTGGATGAGCTGCTTCCACTTTCTTCCTGTCCTGTTTCTTGCAGAATTCATGCAATTCTAGTCATGCAATTAATGGGTGTTACGCATTCCTAAAAGTCAGAGATTGTGAGAACAGAAAATAAGAGCTGGATGGATTCCTTTGTGTCACTACATTTCTGCCTAATAAATAAGCTTTTGCTGGTAGGAATGAGTTCAAAGCCTTCGACAACTTACATGTATCTGGTTTTAGTGCCTGACACTAGGACAGATTTCGTGATGCTCCTACTGGAAACTTGCACTTACCTGCGGCGCACTCAAGACAGCGGTTGTGCCTCTTCCATTTCCTCATCTGCTTCTGCTGACTGCAGAGCCTAGTGCCTGTCTTACAAATCAGTTATCACTTTGATCACTTCCTTTTTTGTTTGGAACCCAGTATAATGTTTCCTTCCTTTAAGAATCTCAAGTTGTATTTTTAGGACTTATATTAAGTGGAAATTACCTTTCTGGTCCTCTTACTATCCTGTCTGGCCTCGTGTGCCTGGCTGTATCTCAGGCAGCATTCCTTCGGGTGGAATGCACACAGCGTTTTGTGTTGGTGTTGATAGTAGTATATTCATAGTTTTTTTTCTCTTAAGTAATTAGAGTGCAAAAAGAGTGAAGGTCTCGTGCTTCCCCAATGAGTTTAGAACACACTGCAGGTTTGGAGAATTAAGCTTAGAATTCAGTTGGAGAATTCAAGCTTAGAATTAAGCTTGAAAGGTGTGGAATGCCTCAGTAGATAGCAGCTTGGCAGGTAATACTGTAGTTCACTGGTGTGCATTTAAGTGGAATACCACCAACTGAGACCTAACTGTTCTTGCTCTATAAATTTCTGTCCGTTGTTTACTGGACTACGGACAGTCAGTGTTACTCATAATTTTATGAATAATATAATAATAATAACTCATAATCTTCTGAAATGTGTGCATGCAGCAGCATCACTGTCACCTCTTTGGGCTTGTAAAGGGGTAGGTAATCTTGAATATGAAAACTCATATTTTGTTAATTTAAGAAATCATCCAGCCCTCCTTTTATGCTTTCAGATACTACCTCTCCACATTGTAAGTGCAACAAACTACTTTGGTCGAATAGTAGATAAGCAAAAGGACCAATATACAACTCTTGCTGAAGAAATTAATGAGTATTTTAAGAAACCTAGTAATAAAACTTCTGTTAAAAGCGTGGAGAAGTTAGCGGTTTATGGATTATGTGAGAAAACACTTTTCCACAGGTAAAAATGTTGGCTTTTTAAAAATTGATGTGCACTTTTTATACAAAGCAATTTAAAACTTTCCCTGTTTAGTTAGAAAAGTCAACCCACACCCGAAGCCAGCAATAAATCACTGTTATTCAAATCATGCTTTAAAAAGCTATTACATGCTCTTTAGTGAAAAAACAGAATGACTACTCACGTGTGCATACACAGTTAGATATTTTGCTATGAAAATAATTTTTTTAAACGAGAGTAGAATAAAAACCGTTTTACAATTGAATGTCTGAATAATAAGTCTATGTTTCTTCTCTTATTATATGAAGGGTTCAGGTGGTAGAGATTTCCCCCAAAGAAGAAGAAAACTTGTTTTTCATGGTCAAAATTAAATATATAGATGAAGGCAGAACAAGTCAAGTTCAGAGCTATCAGCTACTTCACTTACCTGCAAGGTTTCAGTGTCTGCCGCCTCAGGCTGTGGAATTTGTAGTTTGTAGAGTGAAACCCATTGATAATGAAATTGAATGGAACCCAAAGGTAATATTTATCAGGTTTTTCATTATATTTTCTGTATGTTCTTTAATTTGTGTGTTGTTTTTCTGCAAGACAACAGTTACAAACTGCGAACTTGGTTTTCATTGCCTATTAGTATTATCAATAAATACCTGCTATTGGGGCAGATTGTCAGAAGTCGGCTTTCTTGTTTATTTTCCTACAAATCAACAAAGTAAAACTCATGGTATTCTCTTCTCTGTTATTTAAATGGCTTCTTCCAGAGCAAGTTATTTCTGCTTTTGAATCTGTGGGGAGTAATAGGGGAAGGGTAGCCTCTGTAAATTGACCTATGTTTGAAATACTCTTTCCATAAAGAAAGCTCCTTCCTTAAAGGCTAATAATACCTTCTTTAACCTACAGTGAAGTCGGAGTATTTCACTAGTATACTCAAAACTGGTTTTATTTATTGATTATCCTTTTCATTGTTAAGCTCAGAGGACTGTTTCGTTATAACTAAAATAATTGTAGAGTATGTCGGCATGCATCTCAAGTACAGTGAAAATTTCTTTTTGCTAGGTAACTCATTATATTAAACACAAAATTAAAGGAAAACTACATGAAGCAAAAATAGTACATACCTTGGGAAATACAGCTTGGGTTGACCCAATGGTAGGTATAGAACTCTAGCTTTACAAAATATTTGTATCTATACCACTTTATAACAAGAGCAGCCATTCTTCTTTCTCCTTCTGTCCGTTCCAACTTTAATTTTATTCTATGTGGTATTCACGTAATGCTGTTGGTTAATTTACTGTGATGGGGTCTGAGCACTGGAACATGTGCCTAGAGGTCGTAGAGTCTCCATCCTTGGAGATACTCGGAAACAATCAGGGCATGGTCCTGGGTGGCTGACCTTGCTTGAACAAGAGTGTTGGACGTGACCTCCAGAGGTCCCTTCCAACCTCAACCATTCTGTGATAAATATGTGTATGCTTGTATATAGATGGAATACATGACTGAGTAAAATTTGACCTTTAAATCTGCAGAGCTGAATATGCACCAGTAGTTGCGCACCAAATTAATTGAAAGTGTCATCCAGACTATTCCACAAAGTTAGTAACAAAAGTATGTCTTGGAAGTACTAGTTTTTGGGGTTTTGTCTTATAAAATCAATTCTGTAGTTTGTCACACATTCCTCTGAAAGAATGAAACTTTGGTCCTCCAAGATTATGTGCTGATATCTAACATCTCTTAAACTAGACTTTAATTTATTCTGTTTATATTTCTAAATCTTCACTGTCTTTTATAGTTCTTCCACAAGTATAGAGTTAGTTTTAGTCTAAATTTTTCTTCAAATTAAATGCCTTTACGCTTTTTTTCCTTAGTTTTCTTAATCAGAATAGGCCAAATGGGTGTTCGTGTTCATGATAGAGTAGTTTGGGTTGGAAGGGACCTTAAAGATCATGTTGTTCCAACCCCCCTGCCATGGGCAGGGACCTTGGCCTGGACCAAGTATTCCTGTTGGTAGTGCTGACTGGAAGTTGATAGCCAGGGGAAAACTGGAGAGTACCTGTAACAATCTGTTGTTGTTTAGACAATTATTCTATCACCCAATCACCCCTCCCTACCTGGAAAGGGGAATCAGGGAACACAAAGAAACACAAGGGTTGAAATATAAATAGATTTAATGGACTAAGGCTAAATAATTAACAATAATACTAAAGAACTAGTATTAATCCCAATACTGATATAAGATGTACAAGGATTATACTCGGCCCATTATATCAGTAGGAAGCTGTGCACTCCCAGCAGTAGACAGCAAATGTCAGACACTGTGAGCACAATGGCTTCAGGAGGAAGGGAAGGCCTCAGGGGACTGGCGCCAGGGCAAGGAGTTGTCTGGACCACTGCCATCAAGAGAGAGAGAGCTATGTGGCAAACTTTTCTAATTTATATTGAATGTGACGTTCATGGTAGGAAATAATCCTGTTGGCCAGCCTGGGTCAAATGCCCAGGCCTTGCTCCTCCTTGTCCCTGCACCTGGCAAGGCTCAAAAACACTAACCTTGAATCCCGAAGAGCCTGGCTGGCTATAAAGTAAGTATTTTCACAAATTCAGACACTAGAGTCTTCTAAAAGTGCAATTTTCCCCAGCATTAGAAGAAAAGTCAGTCCTGTGTCTCTCAACCTGGGATACTCATCCATGCAGTGATGTTTCCTCTGAGTATTTTCCTATTTTCACAAAGCTTTACAGGTAGGAGATTGCCTTAGGCCTGTGTTTTACTTGAAAGGAGATTTTTTGAAAGGCAGGAATCTATTCTGACAGTTACATCAAAGGACAAAAAATAAGATGGCTTTTAAGCCTTTGCCAATGGCATGAATAAGCTAGTTTGATCTTCATTATATCTGTTAAGAGATAACTACATTTTACAAGCAAGGAGTTTCGTAAAGAATTTTGATCAAAGGTAGCTCATGAGGGGGTTGATTTTGTGGGGTGGTGGGGTTTTTTGGTTTGGTTTTGTTTTGTTTTGTTTTCTCCATGGTCTGGACCAGTTCATCAGAAGGGCCTCCCTCTATTTCAGGATCATGGTGTGCCTCATGTGGCTGCTTGGTCTTGTCAAAGAGTACAATAAGTTATTCCTGTACTTTGGAATGTATGATGCTATGTTCTCCATAGCATGATACATTTCAGTTGGCTGAAAAATAAAGTGGAAAGGGAAAATGATCTGGAAGTAATTCTCTTCAGTAGCTTGTGTTCCTAAATGGCATATCTCAACCCTTCTCTGACTTCCATGCTTTTGTTTTTGTTTCTTACTGTGTCCCCCTCTCCCAGCAGTTTTACAAAGTTATTTGGGTCTAGGAGTTATTTTAACTATGTGGTGTGTATTTGTCTGTAATTTGTATAATTAGGGCTAGGATTGTTTACTTTGTTGTCATCTTGGTTCTGTTAGGTGGGACTAGCTACTAATTACCTGAGCCATTGCCACAATGAAAAACACGGTGATATTTTGAAAACAATTAAAGACATGGGTATATTCCTGTCTGAAAACCAGACAAAACAAATGGCTTACAGGTATAAATGAATGGGGGTATGTGTAAAATTTTACTTAAAGAACAGCTTAAAGCTGGAGAAGAACTATTTATGAGCTGTGTTTTCCATTTAGTATGTTTTGTAATTCAAGGTCCGGGTTACCAGGCTTTCAGATTTGAAGGTGTCAGTCAATGAATACAATGTTCGATCTGAGATTTTGTCTACGGGTCTGGGAACTGACAATCCAGAACATATAACACAACTTCAGAAGTTGTACGGACACATGAAACTACTAGATCATGCAAAGAACTTGGAGCCTTTGTAAGTATTTACAAATTCTTTTCAGCATATACTTTGCTAAGAAAAGGAATCTAGTATTTAATTTTAACTGGATGTTTTCATGTTTAATATTACGGAATGTGGTTTTCAAACACAGAGATATGTTTGTGATATATCTGCTTTCCTTTAACTATTCTTTAGCCACATAACCATCATGGAATGAAAAATATCAACTCCAGAAAATGTTAAGTTCATATCTGATGCAGACAGTCAAGTTTATATAAAAATATGGAATCTGAATTGAAATTGTTATCTTTCATTATGATCAGTGGCTTTTTTTGAATTCTTACCAGTCAGTACATAGTACCAGTGAGTACAGGAGAGCATATTGTTGGTGTTTGTACAACTGCAGAGTTCAAGCTGGAAAACTTAGTTTTCTTTAAATGCATGGCCTAAATCATAGAATGGTTTGGGTTGGAAGGAACCTTGAAGTTCATCTGGTTCCAGCCCCCTACCCTGGGCAGGGACACCTCCCACCTGACCAGGTTGCTCAAAACCCCATCCAGCCTGGCCTTGAATCCCTCCAGGGATGGGGCAGCCACAGTATCTCTGGGAAACCTAGGCCAGGGTCTCACCATCTCACAGCAAAGAATTTCTTCCTGATAGCTAATATAAATCTACATCTAATCTAATTTAAACCTAATCCTTTCAATGAGTATGGGTACGTGATGTTTTTTACAGTACCAGCACTGTATGGTTTGTGGGTTTTTCCTTGCTTTGTAAATTTCTAGAAGTGAGTAAATACTACATGTGGTGGAATGGTACATCTTGCTGTGGTCTGTCCTGGATCCTAGGACCCTTGATTTAAAATTATTATGAGCAAGAAAGACACCTGTAGCTTTTTGTGTTCTGGGTTCTGTGTGGCATCTTGTTCAAGAGTTTCTTTAGGCACTTATTTTTGAGTTTGGAGAGCCATTATTGAAAATATAATTTAAATGCTTTTGTCTTAGCAACCAAGTTTTTTTTAATATTTAGAAGGAAGAGAGAAATCTTAAAGATTTTCTTTCAGAGAGTAAACACAGCTTCATAAACAAAAAAGATCCCTGGAATATCATGATGGGCACTGTATGTGCTGGCTCAGGGTTGGGCAAGTTAATTAAGGTGGCTGTTTCTGTGACTTAGCCAGTCATCAGGATGAGGAAGCCTAAACCCCTCCATAGTCCATTTCTATCTTAGATTGAGATTCCTAACAGGAACTTAACATTCTTGTCCTGGAAATAAAGTGGTTTGCATCTTCATCTCCAAGATGATGTGGTCTATGGGTATAAGTTCTAAAAAAAAAAAAAAAAAAAAAAGTTTCTGAAAAGTTTCTGAAAAAAATACTGTAGGTTGAATTTGCTATGCTGTATTTTACCTAGCCTCAATTCTGATTTGGAATTAATCAGAAAAACTATATGCATTTTTTTAAAATATGGAAATGGTTAACGATATCTCTCATTTAAGGTTGAAATTACTTTCATCTTACCTTAATTAGTCTGGAGGCAAATTAGTAAGTTGTGTTAGTTCTGAAGAAAGGTGACTGAACAGGTATTTAATACTGAATCTTCAATGTGGATTACTTATAAAAGTTAGTATTTATTTATGTGACTAAAACATTAGGTGATGGCTTACTAGAGTGCTTTCAGTTCTCTTACACCACTACGTTATTGGAAGTAATGGAAGAAAGTATTTTTCATTGGACAGATGACTCAGCGTTTCAGGAATTACCTAGTGCTGTGTTCTTCTCAGTAATGTTTTAATGGAGACTGGCGAGGCTGCCACAAACAGGGACTTGTGGTGCCTGTCTCTGAGCTCTTCAGGAGACTGACTCTAGTCCAGCGTTTCCTGAATCTTGAGTCCAGTCAGCAAAGCCCCTGGCTGTACAGCTGCAAAGCCAGAGGTCTCTAACTAATAACTGAAGAACTTCTGAGTATTCTGAAAATTTTACTTCTTCCAAGTCAGAATGAAATATGACCAAAGAGCCACCGAACCTTCTAGAATCCTTTGTGAAAGGGAATCGTTTTCCCATCTAGTTTTGTCACACCCAGAAAGGCAAATAAATTTTGTGATTCAAAGGAAGTGCTGGTACCATCAGAATTTTAGATGTTCTGCTAACTTGTGATTTCTGTATAAATGCATCTTACTGAGTTATTGAAGTTCAAAAACCCTGTGGTGAGATTTATAGTTTGCTAGAAGTACATTTTATTGTATTTCTGTATATATTAGTGTGAAAGACTTCAAAAGGATTTCCAACTATGATTAGGAATCCTTTAAATATTAAATGTATTTAAACCCTTTACAAATGCCTTTTTCTGTGTTCAGAGGCAAAATGGAGGATACAGCTGGTCCAGAGAATGTGTCCAATCCACAGAATACATCAATACAAGAACGTTCTCCTGAAAACTGTAATTCTTCTAAAATTACTTTGGGGAGTCACCCATGTGGTAAATTTTTTCATCATTTCCAAAAATCTTAAAATTGACATTTAAACACTTAACTTTAATTACAACCTAAAACTTGTTTTGTCCAATGCAGACTTCCTGGGTATACAGAATAGGGCCATATAGCTAATATTTACAATAAGTAACAAATCTTACCATGAGAGTAAGCCATATTAGCAAATTTATATTACTGTTTGGGAAATATTCCATCCTTGAGAGACTCAGAATTGTTTGGATCTGAATGGAATGTGTGAGCAGGAGCTTGCTCTTGTAGAGAGGACAAGCATTTGGCTGTCAAAGGCCGTAGGGTTTAAGGAAGCTGAAATCTGTTGAAACATGAGGTGAATAACAGCATCGTTCTCTGGGAGATTCAGTAGAAAATTGAACCTTTTTTTTTTTTTTTTCTTTTTTTCCTTTCTAACCTCGTGCTCAGGGATATGGCATTCAGTCAGTAGAGGCTTAAAAGCACATGGCTTTGTTGGTCTTAGAAGGGGAAAAGAGAATGATCTGACAGCACTTGGCATGTGAGTTTGGAGTGATAAAAGCTTCGTGATTAAAAAGTTGCAGCAGACAAAAGTCAGATCAGATCCTGGAGTGCTTATCGTGGAAGGCTTTTTTTTCCTGGTGTAGTAGAGTGACTATAATGCCATGTTTCAAGCTGCGATGGTAACATCAATGGCAGTTTCTAAAATCACATGCTTCGGTTTTCAAATAAATAGTATTTTGAAACTGGAAAAACCTTTACCTGACCTGGATAACTGTGTATTTTTGGTGGCCTTTTTAACTTTATTATATCAATTTTATAATTGATACTGTTTTTAGCTAAGATTTTCAGTGAAATTATTAACGTTATTAAATCTTCCATATAGGAAGTACTCAATATGAATGCCAAATATATTCTTGCTGTAGTAATTTGATTGCTACCCAGTTATTTTTATGATAGTAATGGAGTATTCTGTAAGTATTTGGTTTCTGTAGTATAAAATACCTTTCTGGATTTCTTATTTTTAGATGGTGTAGCTCAAACTAAGGAAGCAGAAGAGTCTACCCTGCATCAGCATAAATGGTACAAAAATGGAGTGATTTGTTCCCATGCTTGCTTTTTAGTGTGAACTATGAATTCTCTGTGAACTGTGTGAATTCTGTGTGAGCTGTGAATTCTACAATTCTATGACAATCATTCTTGCTGAGAGTATCTGTTTTGTAATGTATGAGAGTATCATACAGGTAGAATTCAGTTATGTCGGTGCTGAGCTTGAGAGAATACATGACATCTTGTGAATTCCTTAAGTAATTTAATTTGTTCTTCTGCTTGCTCCTGGGCGCTAACTCTATCCGTTGAAATTACGTAATCTTTGAGACGTAATCTTCAGTACTAACTGAATAAAAACACTTTTTGAGCTCAGTCCATGGTTATAACCTCTGACTTGCACTTGCCTGGATTATGTTTTAGCCAAAGACAGTCCTATTTGAGGTCTAAATCTGCATATTGGTATTTAATGCAATGAATCTGTTCTGTCTGTCTCCCCTTAATGGTATTCCGTTCTTAAAGAAAATTTTTTTTTTAAAATGGTAATCTGATTTTATTTTGAGAATGTCTACAACACAACTATGGCCCATTTGCTTTGCGGATAGGACAGTTTACGTTGATAAATAATTTGAGAACAGTACCAGTCCCAATACCAACCTGTGAGGAACGCCACTCATTACTGGTCTCCACTTGGACATCGAGCTGTTGACTGCAACTCTGAGTGCGGCCATCCAGCCAATTCCTTATCCACCGAGTGGTCCATCTGTCAAACCTGTGTGTCTCCAGTTTAGAGACAAGGGTGTTGTGTGGTACGGTGTCAAATGATTTGCACAAGTCCAGTTGTTCTTTCCTTATTCACCAACACTGTAACCCCTTCATAGAAGGCCACCATGTTTCTCAAACATGGTTTGCCTTTAGGGAAACCATGTCAGCTGTCACCGATCACCTACATATTTTATGGTTGGGTACACCTACAGATGCTGAAACTCAGCTGGCTGGTTGTAACCTGATGGAAAAATTCTGGCTGTATGTGAGACAGCTTGTCTAAAACTCAGTTGTTTCCTATTTTGGAACAAATCTGATTAAACTTTCTTTATTTTAGCTTTTATCCAGAAATAAAGTGGTTTCAAAATGAAGAGTCTGTTACAGTGAAGGTAAAAATAGCAAGTGTAGCTGACGACAAATGTGAGTTCTCTAAAGAGAAGGTGGTTTTCAGGTAAGCTTAAGAAATTTAAATATAATAAAATATTTGATTGTCAGCTGCATTTAATTCTTTTAAACTTTTTACAATGTAGTGCTTCTTCAGGAGACAAAATTTATTTGGCTGACATGGAGCTATATCAATATATACTACCGGAAAAGTCTACATGTGTGATTAAGGATAAAGAGGCTATCATTGTTCTCATGAAAGAGAAAAAAGGAGCTTGGTGCAAATTACTGAAGAACAAGGTGAAGTGGAACTTTGTGAATTATTCAGTGTTGTGAATGTATTCACTGTGCATCAGTGCAGATACTTCAAGCAATGTTTTTGTCAACAGAATCCTCATGTGTCTTTTGATTTCGAACACTGGGAAGATTTTGAAGATAAAAGTCCTTTTCCAGTTGGTAAGGAATGCATAAAATGAGTACAATCCTCATTTTTTTGCAAAGGCTTTATCTGAAATACTCATTTATTTCATACATGTGACACTTACCTGGTTTGCTCAAATTCTCTGGAAACAGAGGAGAGGACTTCTAATAGCAAAATGTCAGCAGTGGGGTATTTTTCTGTCAGAATGGCATAGACAAAAAGCAGTTTGGAGTAGTTTTTAGTGTTTTGGTCTACTCTGTTGTCTAAAGTGTGCTTTTTTATTTTGGTTTGGGTTTTTTTACTAGTACGGCATATTTGTTGTGAAGCTCTTGTTTTTTTCTTGCTTTATAAATGTTACTCTAATTACTCCTAGGTACTAAAAAACTGCATTGCGCTGCTGCAGTAACTGAAGAATTGGTTGACTCCTCAGAAGACGGTGGAACAGAAAGTGATGAGTAATTTGGAGAATGATCTTTTCCCCTGATAGGAATTATGCTTCAAAATAGTGTCTCTTGCATGAGTACTTCCACTAAAATTGATTAAACGCATAGGTTGCAGAACTGTCCTTAATTTTAGGAGGAAAATAGTGAACAGAAGACATATTCCGTACAAGAACATTATGTAGATTTTCCAGTGCTTTCACTTTAAAAATGTTGTCTTTGATGTGCACATATGTATGTGTACGGTTCAGAGAGTAAAATTTGAAGATTGAACTTGGGCTGTGAAGAAGTTGAATTTACTAGTAATTACAGAGCTTCTGGTTTACCTGAGTGAATTTGCTGTGTTAGCAACAGTAATTTTTTGAAGTTTCATAAATCCTGATCACCTGTCAGTTGTTCTACCATATCCCTCTTTCCTACAGTCTCGGTTTGTTGGCAGTCATCACATTTGTCAGTTCCGCATCAAGAAATGATGCCTCAGCTCCAGTGGTGGTTTTTTGTTACTTAACTGGAAATACTTTGATTGGTATGTGATGTTGGACAGTGCGGCTCAGTGTAGAACTAACTGCTGTAACAGCTATTGTGGAACAAGCACTGGGGTAGTAGATTCAGTATTTGTTTTCAGTTTGACGTTTTCGCTTTTCACGAATGCTTTTATTTCATTCCCTCTCACTTACCTAAAACTCTTTTCTCCTTTACAAATGAACAATAAAATCTTGTCTTTTTAGCCCTAAGGCTTTGCCTTTTAATATACCATCTTTCAGTAAACAAATAATAAATATTTAATAGACAAGCTGTTAGACTTGGGCACATCCAGAACCTCTTGCAGTGAAGTAGTAATGTAAAGGATACTTACAATAAATTAATCTGGTATCAATCTCTTTATATATGTAGAGTTTAAAGCCCATTAGTTTCCCCAACATAACTATATGGTGATTTAGAACAGAGAAACTTTACAGATTCACTTTAAGAAGCCTAAATTTTTGTTTTATTCTTGACTAGGAGGAATATAGTTGCTTGTTGGGGATTGTTCTTTCAAGAAACCTTGGGATGCCTTTACTTCAAGAGTGGGAGAAGGATTGTATTAGTATATTTGCACTGACAGTTACAGATTTTCTAGTACTAGCATAATGAAGCCGCTTCTTTCTGAATATCTAAGAATATTGCGGATGCCAGGGGAAGACTGCCATGTGACAGAAACAGTTGTAATTGTTTATGGTTAAGAAAATTAGTGCTGTTGGGAACCTGACTACAACTGAGCTTAATTATAGCCTTCACCTGAGTAAAGGTACTTGCAAAGCTGTAATTGTTATAAAAGTACTTAAGGAAATAGTTAATGTAGCTGTATGTTGGTCTTGCTCTGCGTTGTGATGCATACAAAAGACAGCCAGATCACCTAATCAAGTTTGGAAAAAAAAAAAAAAAAAAAAAGAAATAGGGCAGGGCGTTTTCCTTTGTGTGGTTTTTCGTGGTGGTTTTTTTGTGTGTATTTTTTTTTCTTTGGTTTTTTTTTTGTTCTTTGACTTTTCTGGCATCTAAATATAAAGTAAGGTGATTTTTTCTGCCAGTAGATAAATCTGTAATTTTTGTTTGAAAAGTAAGTCACCTTGTAAGACTTAAAAGCAAAAGCTGGTTTTAGCCATTTAAAGAACAACATTAAAAAAAGTAGCAATACATTCCAAGAATATTATTTTGGCCGCAAGCAATTTTTGCTCACGGTCTTCATGAGGAAGATGATTTCTGTGGACTCCTTACTTGAATTATTTCAGTTGCATTTTGGAACCTATGTCAACTTCTGACATTTCTCCTGCACTAAGAAATTCAGTAGTCAAAAATCATATTGTGTGAAGAAATACTTTTTTCTGTGTTTTGAAGCCATCCCTGCTCTGTCTACTTGAGGGGATAGCTCAGTTCTCACACTGGATGGTTGCTGAAGACTGCTTGTGGACCTCTGTCATAATTTTTCCCATTTCCTAATTGAGTGTCTCTATTTCAGCCATCAAAATTGTAGAAGATAGTCATTCTGTATACAAATATTCTCTTCCTTTAGTCTTTCCCCAAACCCTATAGCTCTTCTGTTTGAAGTGGTGTTTTTACCAACTGGTGGTAGGGAAACAGCAGGTGTAACAGTTCAACTGGGACAAAACACTGTGGCAAATAGACACTTGATGTGTAATGACACAATTACAGTTTTGTTTTGTTCTCCATTGCCTGCCTTAGTCATTCTTAGCCTTCTTTTTGCTTTTGTTTTAACCTGATTGCACGTGGAGCTGCTGTTTTCATGCGTCTGACTATAATCACAAATCTTCAAATGAATTGAAACCTGTCATTTGTATATGTTCTGTTAGGATTGCTTTTCCATGTAAGTACATGCAAAATGAAATATACAAGAACTTAAGTTTCGTTTATTTCTTTTTAGCTGCAGGATGATAGAAGTAGCTTCTCTAGTTGAATTTGCTAAGCCAGTTGCCTAATATTCTTGTGTAATGTATTTAGGATGATGAAGTTACCTCTGCAAAATTGTTAGTGCCATGAATAATTTCTGTGGCAATGTATTCACTGTTACGTAACTCGGATGGTGTTGGAGAAGACAGATACGCAAGAAATTAAGCTTTAGTTGGTTATTTTAATTAAAATTTAAAAAAATATATCAGCCCTTCTCTTCCTTTTAACTGTGCTTTCGATTTCAACTTGATTCCCACTTTGTCAGTCTTTAATATTTTGATAGCTAGTGTTTGGTCTGAGAAACTGAGAATGAAGTTGATCTGGTTTTAGGTTACTTCTGTCCATTCAGTGTGGCCTGTTGAATGTGATACTGTAAATGATAGCTGCTTTGTTCTTTCAGTAGTGTGATCAAAAGCATCTTGACAGTCTTGCTGGTAAGTTTTGCCATCTTTCTAATTCAAAAGTTCCTCTTGTTTATTTTGAGTAATTTTAATGCAGGAAACAAGATACTGTAACATATTAGCAAACAATGAGAACAGCTCTGCTTGATGCTAATCTGGCTCAGAAATCTTTTATTCTTACATGTTTAGCATTTTTCAAGTACTAAAGTGTTGCAAAAATAATACACCAGTATGAACATAACAGTTTAGAAAGTGTAAAGGTGTGCCAAACTAAATTGAATCTCCTTCAACCAGCATAGCACTTAAAAATAACATGGTACATACAAAATATTTTATTCTTCTGCTGGAACAACTTCCAAAAGCATCTGAAGGTGCATAGTGATGGGCTCTGAGGGGGAAAAGGTTATTGTTAGAGGCTTTTTGAGGGAACAAAACTTCTGTTCAGACATACTGTCTTTCTAAGAGCAAAAATTACCTTTGCGAATAGTTGCCTGTCTTTTGTGTATTTATATCTCAAAAAATCAGGGGTGGGGAACAAAAGCTATCTGAAGATCCAAACTACAACATTCCAGGGTTTCTGAACTTGTTCTTAGTAGAGTACAGTTCTTCTAATTGCATGATTGCATAATATATGATCCTGGAGACACAGACAATGGATTTTACTTTTTTTTTTTTTTTTAAATGTCTGTAGAACTACTAATTCTGTCCTCTTCAGCTGGCTTTACCTTCCCTTTTAGAAATACCTGTGTATCCTGATTTCCCTGAGATAACTGCAAAGAGTTTCTCTTGATGATGCAAAATCATTTTATAAATGGTCACAGTGGGTTCTTGCAGCTTTCACTTTACTCGGCAGCACTGTAGTTATTTTTGGCCTTAATGCTGTTTAATATTTTCTTTAGCTCAGGTTATTGATTTTGGTATACTTACTAAAAGCACATAAGGATGGTATAAGGATGTATGTCTGCTAGTTAATGCCTAAAGCAATGTTTTGAAATAGGGGCAATCAAAATAACTAATTTTACAGATAAAATAGTTCTAATTAGTTCTACTAATTTTAAAAGTCATTTTCTTCATGCTACTACAATGAAGCATTGCTTTTTTGTGAATCCAGTTTCATTTTTCCTGAAGTCGGGCAGTATAATAGAAACTTTAGTAAAGCTTGCTGCGTGCCCCTTGCTAGATGTCTGGCAAACTGCCTCCCTCCACACCCCACTCGAGATTTAGATGGGATGGACTAAATGATAATGAGCTTCATTATGCTAATCTAAATCTCAGCAATATTGTGTTGAATTTGGTGCTGACTGAGGTATACTTACTTGATATTTTTTGGGGCCAGTTGAATTTAAAATGAACAAAAAGTACATAAACGATAAGTCCACTAAGTATAAATAAAACACAGTACAAATAGGCCAGTTCAGGTGCGCTGATGATTGGTGCCAATACCAGTAAAATGGAGACTAATGTCACTATCACTGGAATGATGATGGGTATCTGCAAGATACAAAGCACAAAATTACCTGTTTATTCTTTTCCTGTTCTTAAAGAAGTTGCATGTATGAGAGGAGAATATTTTCATTGCCTTATGCAGTTTTTCCTGTTAAAATTTCTGGTATTAGATGAGGAAATTGAAAGAGTAACAAGAATATGGATAGGGAAAATGCTTCTGCTGAATTATCAACCGAGATCACTTTGCCAATATTGCAAATTGCAGTGTGAAAATTTGCATTTTAATGAATCTGGTTCCTGACCCCACTGCAATAATCTGGGGCCTTATTTTGGGTACTGGAATAAAGAGAAGAACTATAGATAAATGCCTAGGTTTCAGGGGGGGGAAAAAAAATAAATCAAGGAGTCATCTGCCTGAGGATGTTGTTTAAAATCCAAATATTGAGGATGAGTTGGTGTTTTGGTATTTATTAGGATGGAGGGAAAGCCATACTGAATGCTGAACTTACCCTGATTGGTCTCTTGAGTTCCTTTCTTGTAAACCTCATAACAATGAGTGCAAGTACAGTTAAACCATAAAATATCCAGACTGCGAAACTAAAATAATTTATGAGTGTGTTAATGTCACCAGGAATGATATAAATAATAGCAATGGCCCCCTAAAAATGAAAAGAAAAATTAATGTAGTCTATTATAAAAGAATGCTGAATTTTACAGAAATGTCAGTATGGGCGTATGCTTACAGTATTTCAGAGAGTCATCTGTGAATGCTTTTGCTTAAATATTTGGGTGTAAGTGTGGTGCTGCATCTTTAAAGGTATCTAGAGATAGAGAATTTTTGTTGGTAACTTTTCTGTGCTTAAACTATATACTTACGTAGAATATGATAGCAGGTGCTGGTGTTAAACGCTTAACACTGATGTAAGACAGCAGCTTTAGCATATGCCCTTCTCTACCTGCAACATAAACAAGTCTGAGGAAACAAAAACAAGACAATCTAGTTAGCGTGGCACCTAGACTTCGAGTGGCATTACTTAAAAAAATAAAATAGAGTACCATTCGTTTTCAGGTTTGTTTTATTGTGTGGCTACATCTGACTATAATTTCATCAGTATTTCCTTTGATTTGCAATGGGATTTGAGGACTATTGTAGTAGACTGAAATAATGTCTAAATAAGGGAAATAACCAGTATTAACACTGTGACCTTGAAACTCATTTCAGAATCATTAGTTTGCACATTTAAGTTAAAATTATTTTGGAAAAAAAAAGTTAGCTATTGTGTGCCTTTAAATATTTTCCTTTTTAGTTTGCTTTTGGTTTCCTTCATATCAAAAAGCTATGTTCACAACCTTACATCAAAAAACTGGTCTTTACAGATGTATTTGTAAATACAGATGTTTGGAAGTGTTTGAAATATAAAGTATTTTTAAAGAGAAAAAGGAAGCATTGAGCAAGCGATAGGAATAGCTTCCTTGTTCTGATTCTTCTCTTTATCATTGCTGCTGTAGTCATGTTCTTATTGGTAATTTTTTAACTGTTTAATTCTTAGCATTAAACTTGGTGAGAGGTGAAAAAAAAACCTTTTGTGCTATGCCTGATTTGAATTAAGAATAAGAGATATTATTGAGGTCCCTTTCAACCACAGTGATTCTGTGATTTTTCTCATTTTTCAAACCTGTATAGCCACTGCTGCTTTTTGAAAATTAAACAATATTACATTTTGTACATTTGGATCAAAAAAACCTCTATATCTCATTTTTTCCATCCTTTAAACACTTTTGTTGTAAGATACTTAGAATGGGAGCTTACCGGCCTGCAGTAAAACAGGTCCCATTGGCAGATCCGATTGTAGAAAAGGCCACAAAGAGGGGAACTATCCAAGAGGCTGGATAAAGGACTCTGTCTCCGAATGTCTGAGTTGTGGGATTAAAATGAATAATTTTTGTCATTTTAACTTCCATTCAGTAATATTGGAGCCTCTTTAAAAGTGCAATAAATGGCTATCTAATGTATGTTACCAATAAAAACATATTTAGTGTAGGTATTAAAGAACACTTTGCCCAGTGAAGATCTCGATTAATTAATGAACCACTCTTTATAGAGTGGAGTATTGTTGTTGTGTTTGAGTTGCAGCATCTGTAGGAAACACTGGGAGACAGATGTAAAAATTACACAGAAATAAAATTCTGTTAGACATCTGGTTTGGGGGTGTCTGCAAAACAAAAAGGAAGATGGCATTGCAGCAGAGCCATGAGACACGGATAGCAACAGCCTGGCCTCAGGGGTGAGCAAGTCAAGGATGGACTTGCCAGGGTCTGTCAGTGCACTCAGTTCTGCCTGTGCCGAGGTGTGTTAGATGTTGCTGCAGGAGGGATTAGACCTAGTGCAGGTACACTGACCTACTGTAAATGAACTTGGATTAAAACTTCTTTGACAGGTAAGTTTTGTGATTTTTAGTTAGGGGATGGTTAACTTTTTTAGTGAGTAAAGAGTTCTGGTTTTGCAGAAGGGTAACATCAGTGTTGTGTCTCTGGCAGTAGGAGTCTCATCAGTCCTTAGCAAGATGCCTGCTGCCAGGTGTACAGACCTCTTCGTTCAGTGCAGCCCTGCTGTTTGCTGTGCTGCCTTTTACTGCTCAGTGGCAGTCCCAAGACTTTGTTGTTAGTTGAGGCTGATGAGTTTGGTGCCAGCTGCTGTGTGTTGCTCACAGATGGGAAGGTTAGTGGAATACTGAAGAGGGCTAGCTGTTAAACAAGGTATGACTTGATATACATTGTTGTACTTGTTGGTGCGAACAAGATGCTGAAATGCTCCAAAGTTCTGCATTTTAAAAGATTATATTTAACTTTTTGAAGTTTTTCTGTACTTCTTCAGTGTGCTACACTGGATTTTATGTGCATGTTACATACTGTTTGCCCCAAAAAACATTAGGAAAAATGGCTGCATGACCACTCGACAGTTTTTTTGGAGACAAATGTCCTGTGGAAAATATCCTAAGTGGAACTGAAGGGACAGGTGTGTTTTAAGATTTTAGAAATCAGTTTTGTCTGTGGTAGTGTGTCTTGCAATAATGTAAAAAGGATATTTCTGAGCTTTGTTAAGGAAAAAAAAGCAAGAATATGGAGGAAGTGAGTTACGGACTACTTGCTGTTATTTCCAGAACGAGAAACTCTTATTTTGCATGTGATTATTTCTCAGAAATACTGGAAGCACTGAAAAGGGCAAAGCAGCAGTCAGATGTTAATTTTCCTTCCATCTTTTTGGTGCTTATAGAAAAGGGTTAACTTCTGAGGTGCAGTGTTTACAAAATGTTAGCTGAAGACTGAATTACTTTTGCTTTTTTTTTTTTTCCTTGGGATATGACAGAACTGCAGTTTAAGCAATACTGAAATAAATTTTAAATTAAGAAATGACAGTAGATAATATAGAAGCAGGTGACACTGACAGCTTAGAAATTAATTGTTTTTTAAGAAAAATTACACGTTCCTTTTTGCTCATGTTACTGCTGAAGATACTTTAATGCACACAGCCTTCTTCAGATGCTCTATTACAAAATAAAGTGGCTTACCACAGCAACTGCCTGGGACTGCAGGAGTTCTGTTGAAGTCATTACGGTGAAATATGAAATGTTTATCAGAACGTAACAAACTGTAACCAAGGGGATTCCAATAATTATAGATAGCGGTAGATTTCTAAAGAATGCAAAAGTAAGACTCCATCAGCATTGCTGCATCACTGGTAGAGCTGTCATAGTAAACTGTGGACTCTCCCTATATGCTCTTTAGGTGTATTTACATTTCTTTAATGTAGTACCAAGGAAATCAGGATTTTAAAAAAGGAAATATACAAGTTTATGCAAGCCTGTAATAGAAGCTAATTCACTCTCTCTGTTAGTGCTCAAACCTTCAATAACTATTGATTTTAAAACCAAACCAAACTATATGCCTTCTGGTACAAAAATATTAAGTGTTTGATTTCTGTTGTTAGAAACACTGCTTTTCTACGTAGTTTTTACCTGTAAGGATTTTTAAGTTCTTCTGTGATGTAATTGAGTTGATTCCTGGAAGGAAAAACATTCATACAATGTTTTCATGCAATAGCAGTCAGATGTTGAAATACTAATATACTATAGTCAGGGGTTATTTCAGTTTTAAAAAACACAAAACAAAAAAAAAAAAGAGCAAAACCACAAGCCACCACCAACTTAGGGCACAACCAGCCTTTTAAGTGGTAATACTGCAGGTCAAAAAAACCCATGAGCTTCTTATCCAAGGTTCAGCCTCTTGATTCACCATTGTTTCCTCCTCACAGTTTCAGAAGTATCTCTTAAGATCTCTTAAGAACCTCAGTTTTTTGAGGTTTCCTTAGTTCCTGGATAAAATATCCAAGAATAATAAAAATTTGGCAGACATCTCAGACTTTCAAAATTGCCCTTGAACGTCAAGGTTTGCAGTATCTGAGTCTTTTCAAGTAAAAGCGCAGGCATACCCTTTGCAATGACTGGAACGAGTCTGCTGATGTTCCACAACTGTTGTGTAAGTTATATTGTCTAGAAAACTGGCATGAAAACCTCTGAGGATTACACCTATCAGAATTACGATTCCCAAATACTCGTTTTTGCTAGAGCACGTAGACAAAATTGAAACAAGATTATTTTTTAACTCATCCCCTTCTGAAAATGTGAGGAGGAGTTGGTGTTTACTGTTTGACAGGTTAATTTTCAGATGTTGGGTTTTGGTGGTTACATATTGAAATAAATATTTAGGCACCAGCTTCGTTGCCCCCTTAAAAATCTGGGCAAATGTCTGAATTAGCTGACTTACATGCCTCAGTTGAGACACTCAAGCTTGCAAATAGAATCTGAAAGAGTAATCCATATGAATATAAATTCAGTTTTAAGCATCCAAATGGGACTTACTTTGTTGTAAGTTAAGGTTTATATTCTTAATTCCTTCCTAAAACACAGATCTATATGCACACTTTTAGTTTAAACGCATAAGAATAGTATTAATGGATCAGACCTTGAATTTAGATTTGTGCCAGGAAACCCCCCGACCAATTGACATTCCCATTAGTTTCAGAAAATGAAACATGTAAACTATTTTCTGGACTGTGGCACAGATTAAGTTAAACATTCCTGCCAATAAATAGGTTTAGCCTTATGAAAATAATTCAGGAAAGCACTCTTCTAGTGTTAAATACAAGTACTGTATGTAGAATATAAATGTAAACCTAAATCCCTCTGTATTTGTGATCATTTTCGAATGTAGATGTTTTCTTAAATCTAGCGTGGTAGCTGATAATGGATAAACAGATGAGAAGATTTAAAACAGAAGGCTTCTCAGGGAAGCCAACTTGAATTTTTTTACATTAATTCCAAATGAAGCTGAGTAAGAAAAAATTTGAAAGTTGAACTGTATGAATTCTGAGAGTGTGTGTGTGGGGGGGGGTATGTTCTCCTGTACTCATCAAACACCAGTACGTATTTCACAAGAAATGGAATTTGATGGGGTAGCCTGTAGGGCTTTGTTTGGGAAGGCTGTTTTGCCTTACAAAATGGAACTGAACTGTGTTATATTCTCCTGATTACCACAGTATCTAAGCACCTTCAGCAGCAAAGCAGAAGACCTTTCAGGATCTAATACAGCTTCTTTCCCTAATGAGCAGTAACTGACAATTTGGGGATGATGGCTGTTGTGGGTGTTTGTTTTGTGTGGTTTTGTTTTGTTTGTTTGTGTTTTTGTAACCAAACTGGTGTTCTTTTCCCAGAATTCATTAAGAGATTCTTAATAACAAGTCAGATGTTAACTTTTTCCCATCTTTTGAGCTCTACAGGGAGAGAGTGAAGTAGTTAAAGGCTGTTGAACTGTGCCCGTTAATGCTGGTAAAGGTACCTTACCATCCATCATATGCCCAGAGTCCATTATAAAATGCCAGGCTGATAGAGCTAACGGAAATTTTACTGTCCTTGAAAGAATCTTTGAAGTTTTCGGTTTTTCCTACAATTAAAATATAAATTACTGATTAGTGTTGAAATTAATTCCTTTAATCCCCACTAGATGAAGAAGCATTCCAGCACCTGACTTGTGTTTTGAAGCATCTCACTGTTAAAATAAATTAATATAAATTTTTATGAATTGATCTGTAGAATTGTATTTCCCACCCTCACCCCCCCTTTCTCTGAAGGAAAATACCATTGCACCTGACAGATCTGGAACTAAAACACTGGATAAAGAAAGCTTATTGTTGTGCCGCTTCTGTCAGTGGGAAATTTACAAGTGGTGTAGCAGAAGCTACAATATTTTTTGTAAGTAAAGTATATTTAATTACCTTGTGCAAGGAGAACAATTCCACTTACAATAATGATTGTAACGATTATCATTTTAGCAGCCGTGAGAAAATTCTGGAGATAGCTTCCCAGCTTCACACTCAGTGAATTCACTATTGTAATTACCACTAGAAGAAATAAATTCATATTTCTGCATTAAATTTGTCAGAACTGAAAGAAAAGTTGCCTTTTGAAACCTTTCCTCCCCCTTATTTACTGTACTGCATTTTACTCCCACTGTTCCCCTGCATTATTCGAATAGGTTTTTAACATACTATGTTTGGATAACTTTTTTAAATAATTAGGAAAACAGCTTTCTGAATTTAGGTTGTGATAGTACCTTTAACAAGTAACAAAACAAAAACCAAACATACTGCAGTTGTGCAGCATTCTGAGAAATACAGAAATAATATCTCCACACTTAATTTTTTCTCTTTTTCTGCCAGACATAAACATCCATTCCACAGCTGTATCTATCATAGTAAAGAATAAGAGAAACTTAGAGTATGAACAAATCATTTGTAAACCTGTCCTTTTCCTGTGCTGCTGCATTAGTCACTGTGGGAAGGAGTTGCTGTGCTGTGTTTCCAAGTGGATGGGAACCCCTCTGCCATTACAGATCGCATCTCTTCCCTAAAATGTACGAATCTTACCGATTGCAGCTGCTGCCAGACACTTGATGACAACCTGGGGTGGATCGCAGCCTGGGTAAAAAGGAGCTGATGCGTATTCCGCGAAGCTGAGGCAAATGATTGCAAACGAACTGGGCTTTGTGACGAGTAAGCTTGTCCAAGAAAACAGAAATGCTGGAATTGGGCCAAATGCCTCCATCAGGTAAGGATATTCTCCCCCAGATTTTGTGATCATTGTGCCAAGCTCAGCAAAACAAAGGGCACCTGAATTAACAAGAAAAGCACTTGTGGGTTCTTCAGTTCATGCACCCAGCTCTTAACTGGCTAGAACAGATTATCACACCTTAATAGGTGGAAAGCTAAGGAAATGGGTATATATAATGCATCATTACTCTTTTTATGTTTCTGTACGTTTTATTGTATATGCAAAATAACATTTTCATTACTTGTGAGCAATTGGTAAAAATTCACTGAAACTTGTAAGTTACGGTCTAGAACTTCCTACTGTTGGTGTTTCAGAGTGGAGCAAATAAAGTACAAACATTCAGGTGCTATTGGCTAATCTGTGCAATGAGAGTAGTATGCGGAAACAATAGATTAAAAAGATTTTAGCAAAGATTCAAATACTTTAACTCATTTACCTAATGTTGCAAGAATTCCACAGGCTGCCCAGATGGTTAAACAAGGACCAACAGCTCCAACATTGGCAAGTACTGATTTTGGAGAAACAAAGATGCCTGAGCCAATAATTGTACCAACGATCATACAGATTCCACTGATGAGGCCCACCTGGAAATAAAAGGAGACATTTTGGGAAAGTAATTTCTAACAATTCAATAATTGTTGTTTGATATAATACAATTATAGCAATTGTCATTACTGACTTTTTCCCCGTCTTTCAACATAAAGCTTCTACTATGTAACATACTAAACTATGCAAAGTTTCTCTTTTCTTTCCAAGATGTATACACACCCTGTGGAATGCTCCCAAAAGCACAGTTATTTTGGCTTTCCCTGCCTGTCTATGTGTTTTATTAAACAGTCCTTTAGACTGCATGGGTCTCAAATCTAACCTTGTGCAGGTGAGCATCCCCTTTCCACTCTTTGATTAAACTTAAAAATTCTTTATTAGCACGTGAGGAAATTCTGACTTTTCTAAGCTTCAAAAATTTGTTTTCCTAGATGGAGTCTGTATTTTTTCTTTCAGCAGGTGTTTTCATTGCTTCAGGTATTTGTGCACAGGAGTTACCTTTATACTGCTAGGTAGTGAAAAGATCGTGTTCTGACTTTGTAGCAATCTATGCGTTGCACAAACTACTAAAACTTGAGGAGTCCTGCTAAAAGCAGTGGCATGGGCTACTTAAATTTTCCTTTTAGTTATGGCTGGTCTAACATAAATGTTTTGCCAGCCTTAACACCAAACTGAAGCCACATAGAGAATCGTTGTCCAGGCTACTTCAGTTTGCAGGGGGAACTCTGCTCCCTGCTGAGAGCAAGTGGCACATCTGTTTTCTAAAGCATTCGTAATTTCCTGGAGGAGGCAAATCTTGACTTGGTTTATGAAGCATCTCACTTGATCAGCTAACTCAAAGACTGAAAAATTATGCATTCTTACTTTTTGATTGTGTTTATATCAGAGCTATTTAACTATTAATTAGCAGTTTCCTAAATCATAAGCCCAGCACGCTCTTAAGATTCTCAAGTACACGGCCGCTGAACTGGTGCGTGGGCCCAGTGCCTGCGGGCTGGGGAGGGAGGGAGGGAGGGGGAAGTTTTGCCTGTTTTTGGAGGTTCATCGTTGGGGGTTCCTGGCTCTGAATGGACTGTCCATCCTCTCGTCCTTTGTCCTCTCCTTTTCTTTTCCTCAAGCTTTCTTCACCCATTTGGTTTCCTTGTTGAAATCTCTTAAGGAAATAAAAACAAAATATTAGTCATGTATATTAATGTGTGCTTGTTTTGCCAATATATATGGGTCCAAATTAGTGTAATTAAATATTGCTGGAAAAGGTAGACACACACACTTGCTCGCAGGCAAAGGACTTGCATCTAACTCCGTACTTGGAAAGTAAAGTGACAAGGTGTTATGTCTCCTTCACGTCCTCCATGGGACTGGCCCTGGGTTCCCTCGTACCCACCTGGCAGTGAGTGTCCTCGTCCCACTCTCGGGGTGGCACTCGGTGGAGAAGATTTTACTGCGACAGTCTGGGTATATAGTACTCCCTCCTTTGAGTTCCTCTAGAGGGCTGGGCAGATTTAATCTTTCTCCCAAAAGCTAATCTTGTTTTTGTATCTAGAGATCTCCTTTCTGATCTTCGTTAAATGAAGCTTGGTCTCAGCTCCTTGGAGATGCAAGTATCTGCTAAACCAAGTGTTACCTCCGGTAATTGTCTAGTTAGCAGCTCTTTGCCTCAGTCACCAGTCTTCTCAGTGTTGACTCAGGGTGAACGGTTTCTGCTGAACGGTTTGTTCTGTTTAGAATTCGAATATAAACAGTTTGTTTTCAAATTTAAATTTAGATTTGATTTTTTTTTTGGTTGTGCGTGTTTCCCATAGTATTTGAATAAGATACAACGTGAGATAGTGAAGGAAATTATCAAGTTAGGTCCCGATTCTTAAAAGTTGATTCAATCAAAAGTCTCTTCTCAGATCCTACAGCTGTAATTACTAGAATCTGAATGCTGAAGATCATTTTGCAGTTACCCAGACAGATTTGGGAATGCTTCCTGTTTAGGTGATTAGCTAGTACCCAGTAATTATTGGTTGCAAAAATTGCAGCATTTTAAATTGACAGAGCACCTAGCTCAGTACCAGAAACATTTGGGCTGTAATGAGATCCAGTGTATGTTTTGAATTAAAGATTTATTTTTTTAAAAAGAAATCATCACAAATCCAATTTTTAAGATTAAACCTCCAATAGAAAATTGCCCACGTAAGGAATGCAGGGCTTGGGTCACTGAATTTTGTTACAGCATTGTGCCCCACTTCTCTCTTTCAAAGTCTTGCATTTAGAATGTTTTAATCATTGCCGTTTAGCAATTTGTGCTTTCACTTACCCTATTTGTTTGGTGTTAATCAGGCTCCAGGAATCTTTGTACAGTGTATTTCTTTTTCTCCTGTTAGATTTAATAGCCGGTTAGACAGCAAGACATGTCCATGTCTGAAAACAGAATACGCAGAAACAGCAGCAGCTTAAGTACAGAGGTTATAAAGGGTAATCATTAAACCCATTCTCAGGCAAGAAGCTTTGAGATAGGAACTACAGGTAAACCAATAGTCCAATTAGTTTATCTTTAAAAAAAAAAAAAAAAAGAAGTCTTTGTTCCATTCTGAGAATGTTTGTCCACTACCTAAGTGCTATATTACATAGTGAGAGTGAACCATAATTTGAGGAGTCTATTTTGATGATTTTATATCAAGCAATTTCTAATTTAGAAATACTTTGGAAAGGTAACCTTGAAATAATTGTCATATTATGGGTTCATTAAAAACATCTGTCCAGGTGTTAGCTGCATCCTATGACCACAGTTGATGTTTTTGTTGTTAGAAAGTAGAGGAATATGAGCAGAAATCTTTGCTTTGTTTTTCATTAACCGGAAGGCAGCTGAGTGGACAGCTTGTGTTCCCTTCACTTGCAATTCCAATTTATTTTTCATTTTTGTAAACGTTTAAAAATCTTGCTTGAGTGAAAGATTACATTCTCTGCTTCTATATAGTTGTGTACCCAGGAAAAAGGCATTGTTATCCTGAAGGCTGAAATAAGATAACTTCTTTCCTTCCAACTAGTCATCCCTAAACTGCTTGCCAAAAAAAAAAAAACACCAAACCACCCTTAATCGTGTTTTATTCCATTGTTTTAGGCAATTCAGTTTTACAGCTCCTTTCCTCTAAGACGTCCAAACTAGTAAGTCCTAATCGACCTGATCTGACTTACAGCTGAGTTTTATCACTAAACATCTACTGTTAAAAGGTAAAAGATGTGCTGGTATTAGCTACTGATACTGAGATTTGTTTTCTTGTTAAGATAATGCCTCGTGAACAATATTAGGACAGGATAGGAAATAAGAGCAAACTGCTGGAGCTAAGAATCAACAAAACTATCCTGGCATGATTTGACAGTTGTTTTTCTGTGTGTGTGTTTTTCACATTCTATTTAAGCATGCAGGCTTGAACAACAGGAATTCCTGTCTCTTTTAATGGTGATGTAAATCTGTGACTAAAAATGGACTCTAAGAAAATGTGAAACAGACTTACATTGGTTTATATTTGCCATGTTTTGTGATGGTTGAGCCAGACTGTGCTGTGAATGTCTTTCTCCAGGACTGAAATTGCAAAGTAATGTCAGCACTGCAAACAAAATCAAAGCCGTATTTCTTTACTCGGTGTTTTTTACCTCTCTTTTTCTTGTTTAGTTCTCACAGAAATAGGATTAAGCTTCAAGACAAGCTCTTGCGTTATAGTTAATTTCTTGTTCAGAAATTACTCTCTGAATGATGGACAAAAGTTCCTTTTTTTCCCTACAGAGAAAGAGTAAAGTGCTACAACTACAGTCTTAAAAGCACATGAAAAGCCAGATATAAGCAAGTTACTCATTTTTCTGCATCTTTTACAGGGACTTCAAAATATTTTTCTTGGTAATTGTGATGTAGGATTAAAGAAGCTAGCATTTCTATATCCATCACTTGGAGATGTCTGGTTTGGTATCAGATTTGTAATGTAGGTCTGTGTTCTCTATAGTGGATAACTTTGAACTTAAGGTTTATAATCTTCTTACCATTCCTGTGTTTTTCCTGAAATGCTACAGAGACTGTTGAAATAGATAATATGAAAAGAAAAAAGGGGGAGAATCATATTATGGAGCTATCTTTGTGCCTCAAAATGAAGTAGACTCACCCTCCACATCATGTCTACCCTGGGATTTCCAGACCAACAAAAAATGGGGCAAAAAACTTTGAAAAGGAAATGGAGTGTGTCATCTTTAATTCCGTGTTAAGTAAAGTTTTGCCTAGGATTTTTTTTAGCTATAGTGTAGGCAATCTTTGAATTTTTTGTGCGGATGTATGTTCTAATCGTCTCATGGTGTTTTTAGGTGTCTTTCCTTTTCACATCAGATCTATATTCTACTTTGTTTCTTCAGATACCATAAAGGCAACATTAAGAATATGTTGTTTGAGTTCTTGCCTAAGCAACCAGGTTTTTTACTCAACCTGGACTGTGTCTTTGGAGAGTTCCCTTCTGTTGAATAGGTGTCTTAAATCTCTGCCAGTGACTTGACCTTAACTAGCCTCTGTTTCCTTATAAAAATGGAAAAGTATCTTCAGTTATTATCTAGTTTAGTTTTAGGGGCTAATCTTCTTGGGATGCCATAAGCTTGTCAAAGGATTTTCAATTTTACCAGCAATCCTCTTTTTCCTCAGCTACTTAAGGAAAAAATAAACATTGAGTTCAAGGATGCTACTGTTATTTTCTTCGTGGACAAGAGAAATGACATTTTACAGCCATGGGAAAAGACTCCTTCCCTCTCCAATACATACAAAGATGAAGAGATCAAGGAGTTCAAATTCCAAGGGGCTGCAGGAGCAAACACTCTGTGGGCTGGTCCTGTCTAAACAGTGTAGTTTGAACCTTTTCAAATGCTATTTACCAATTAAATCGTAAAAAGTAATTTTCAACTTTAATTCGGGAAATAGCAAGGGCACAGTGTATAAATACACCTTTTATTATCATTAGTCACTAATAATAAAGGTTAATGTTTGTTAGGGTTGGTATTTATTGCTTGCAGTAATGAAAATGTTCTGCTTTGACCAATACTTAAGTAAATGGTAAGGATCATTCTAACCTGCAGCTTTGCAGTATCTCAGAATGGGTACTTTCCATTCTAGCTTGCTTAATTTTCATCAGAGGACCATCTGTTTACTTGCACTTGCTGGTCTTTGAATCCCGCCATTAATAAATGTGATTTCACCACTGTCATCCTTAGATGCGTTTTTTTGGGGTTTGTGTTTTTTTGGGTTTTTTTTCAGTAATTGCAGGCGTGTTCAGCTATTATGGACAGAATGTGCTCTGTAAACTCAGCAATGAAACTTCATTGTCACTACAATTCCACAAATTCCAAATTGTTTTCTCAGTTTCTTGATAGGGATTGAAGAATGCTCCATGGTTTTATGTTGCTTCGTGAAAGGAAGCTGGAATGACTTCGTTGGTTTGATTTACAACCTGGAAGATACTGTAAATGGGAGGAAGGTGCAGTATTTCAGAACTGGTTTGCTCTGTCAGCAGTAAAGGCTGAGGTAAAACAGTAAGTTGCTAATGTCAGCTGGGTAACAGAAAAAAAGATAAATGGGCATGGGTAGAGTTATTGTAATAGAGTAAAACAACCACATAATTTGTTTAGTATGTCTATTTGGTATGAATTTGGTATCTATGAAACAAGGCAAAGTAATGCAATTAAAACAATCTTAAGTTCTAGGGTTTTAAGGTATGATTTTCGTCAATACCTGAGTACTAACCAAGCTCATTTACTTGATCATGTAAAATTCCGACACATTCACACTTGAGTGTGCTTGGAACTTTTTTCTAAATACAAGGTAATGATTTACTGAAAATAGGATAGTTAATTCTTCATTTCAGCACTTTAAAGATGCATAAAAGTTGTTACCTGTGCAAACAGAAAGACTTTTCTGCTGTTTGTTCCTTTGTAATACCACAGTGCCTGGCAGTAATAGCTGTGACACTGGACCATACAGGAATGAGTTGAAGTGGGTGTGAGTTCATCAGTAATTCTGCCAAACTGGTTTTATTTCTTAAAGTAATAAGCCAAGTGAGTGGGGAAGAAATAGTAAACATATATTGATTTTTGGACGTGCTTTTATTGGTGACTCATTCTCACCAGCAAATTGCAGTAGCGTACAGAATGGTGCATGGTACAAAATTGGGAGGATGCTCCAATAGAGTGAGCTGGTGAAGGGCTAGAACCCAAAGTTAAAAGGTTTCTTTTGTTACACACCTTTAATGAAAGGTTAAGCCAGCATCTGGTAAATCCTCCTGTAAGGGCATTTCTTTCTGACCCTGAATCCCTGCAGTGTGCTGAAACCTGCACTAAGCACGGGAAGAGAAACCAAAACAAATGTACCAGCTTCACAAGAGGTGACAGCTGGAGGATGAGAAGCTTCTGTTTGTATACAAAACATCCTGAAAGCTTTGAATTTTGCCTGTGAGCTTTGAGCTGGATTCCAGTTCGGCTTTGGTATGCGTGAAGTGATTTCTATGCAAATGGAGCCAGCTGGAGAGGGGAAGGAGACCTTTGTCTGTGTGATTGCTGCAGATGTCAAAGGTTTGCCATGTCCATACCATACCCACAAAGAACCTGGTAGTGCTTTGGGGCTTAGGTGACAAGTTCTAGGTGAAGGTGTGAGACAGAAGCTCCGCAGTCTCCCTCAGCTGCAGCCTTTTGAGTTTCTAAAGGCAGGTGTTCCACAGTTCAGACTGCGCCTTTGGTGCTCTTTCCTGATGCTATTTTCTTCCATGAACTTCATCCCATTACTTAGTGTGCTTGGTTCAAAGGTTAATTGAAGTAATCTATTTCCATCCTTGGTGCTAAACAGAAAAGTGAAGAATGATTACAAGTTTTGTTTCTTCCTTAGTGTTTATATATTAGTTAGAGAAGAAATTCTGTTTCCTAGAGGTTCCCTCCCAGATGAACCTCCAGTAAATGTTGCCAGATTATTAGCTTCCTGGCTGTTTAGCAGCATTGCAGTTCTGTGTTGTGGTAGCAAGGAGTGGAAACAATTAAACTGTCAGTGGCTAGCTTTGTATAATACTAGGGCTAGGCAGTTTAAAAAAAAATAGGGAAGTCGTCTTTCACACTGTGGAAAAAAAATTAAGATAATGAGATCCTGATAGTTAATTGGGGGTGCTGTCCTGTGAACCATGTGTTAAACCTGCCCTCCCATAAGAGCTGTGAAAACGGGAAGCAGATGCGGCGCAAGCGTAGTTCCAAGACATTCCCAATTCACTTGAGTGGAAGAACAGATAAGCCAATATTGAGAGTTTTGAAAAATCTCACTTCTATTTCTAAGGAATTATTAATATAATGTTTTTTCCCTGTGAAGTCGTTTATTTTTACAAAAATCTTGAGACCTATTCAAAAAGGCAATTAAAAACAGATGGGAAGAATACGTAAATCATTTACATATGCAGTTCCAAGGCTGTATTTGGATACTCAGAGATGCTTATCTTGAAAAATGTCAATAAAATACTCAATTTGCAAAACCTGCCTTCAAAACCACAAAAAACAATGTGGGTATAGCCCTGTTTGATGTTCTTTCAGGATCAGGGTCAGCACTTGGGCAGACTGGAGCTTGTGTGGCAAAGAGGGGAGTGTGTATGTCTGCATCATCTACATATAACTTGTCTGAGGAGGTATTTCAGACCTTCCATTTCAAATTAGATTTTTCAAATTCAAGGAAAATGGGATTTGGGGCTGGTTTAGCAACAGACCACCCCCGCCCTCCCTCTCCCCAAAAACCCAGGAAAACCTCCCTGGCAGCTTCACGTTCTGAGTCATTTAAGACTGTGCTTAAAAAGTTTTTTCTTTTGTTTTGGTTGTTATTCTGAGTCCTTGAGTCCTCAAATAATCAAGTTGAAAAAGCTGGGAGGAAACAATTGGAAGATGTCCCTCTGTTAACTGCCCAGGAGGAGACCATGCGGTAGCGGTGCTGGCTGTTAGTCAGTCTCAACATGACGTGTTGAAGTCTTACCTGGATGAGATGGTGAGGTTGTGGCACTCATTCCCAGCAAAGTAATTAAAGTCCGTATTAAAATTCCACTGATTGTAGGACTTGTGCATGTTTGACTTCAGCTACCTTGGTGTTTTGTCTCTCCTCAGGGTGGTATCTGAGTGCATGAGGATTGCTCAAGTGCTCTAAGACTCTGCAGAGTCTCTGGCTTCCCAGTGTATGGCAGGAGCCAGCTTTAAAAACAGTACATACACACAGCACCAAAACCCATGGTGGGACTGGAGACCCTCTCCCCACCTTCTCCTAAATTACCCTCTTCTGCCCAGTTGAGGCCCTGCACCTCAGAATAGCAGGAAACCTTCTAGACAAGAAGAGTATGTATTCTTTTGGGGATTAACTTGGCTTTCTACTCTTTTTGTTAACTTTATCAAAGCCACTGAGATGCTTCATTATTTCTAATATTACACAACTACAATAGTTAAAGGGTTTCCTGTTAAAATTTCCTGGTACCATTTAGGTTTTGTTTTGCAGATGAAGCTAAAGCAAAAAGCTGATCCAACAAGTTCTACGTAAATCCAAAATAAAGTCATTTCATACCAATATGTGCTACTCCGATGTTAATGTGCACTGTTGTGAAAAATCAACAATTAAGAAAGCTAAGAAAAATAGTCATTGTAATAATGCAAAGGCTGTCAGTGCTGCAGAGAATGCTTCTGGGGAAAAAATGTGACTTGTGCAGGTACTGAATCTCAGTGGGATGAACTGAGTCTAGAGGAAGGCTGCAGCCTCTGCTGGCATCTTGTCAAACCTGGGATGGGATGTGCTGACGCTGGGCTCCTGCAGATCTGCTTCGTGGGCCTGGGCCTCGTGAGTATGTGTCTGTCTTGGCTGCTTCACCATCACATTGTCCTCTGTCCGTGAGGTGACTTGGCAGACAGTCTGGACATAAGGACATCTTATGATGTCAAGATGCTTCATTACCAGCAATGAGAACAGACGACAACACATTACTTTTTCCTCCCTACTTCATAGATCAAGTATAGATCGCTTTATTTGGTGATTTGGGAAGAATTTATTGAAATGTGTCCTTTAAATTAAAGCATACATAATGGAGACACATTATGTACCATCTTGAAGGCTTTCTGTTTTGCTCTTCACTTGTTTTTTGGCAAGGTGTATGTCTGTGCTGGAACACCAAGCTTACTGATTTTTTTTTTATCTTGTTAACTGAATACTTGTCTCCGTATGTTAACCTAGCGCTGTATCACGATTTGCCTTAACAAGGAATAGCCTTCAAAAAACCAAAGTCATATTTTAGGCTAGATTTACACTACTGATGGTACAGCTGGAGAATAGGCTGTTGTCATTTTGATGACACTAAAAATACAGTAATCTCGAAGAGGGTAAATGTTCCATTACATCATCCATAGTTGAAAAAGTAAAATTCAGGCACTGAGTTCTCTTTCTTGGATGAGATGTGTAATGCATCTTAATTCTTATCACTGAGATTCTTGTTGAATTTCATTTTTAGTAGGGGATGAAGGTTTCACATCACAATAGCTAAAATCATGTCCGTAAACTTGGTCTTTCTGAGAGCTTTTATCTAAGGCTGGCTCGTGTGCTGTTACAATGCTCCACAGCCTGTTCTTCCCCAGGGATTTGTGTAAGAGTTCTCTCATTCTCCTGTTTTCTTTGGATGTGGATTCCCAAATGATTTCAAGTTCCCCTTCCACTTTCCTAGAAAAAAATGAAGAGAAATCCTACTTTTAAAAACACTTTTTCAGCAGTACGCAATTTCAGTATGTGAACAAGCAAATTATAAACTGCAGGTATTCGGATGCTTGAAATGATCTGATCGAAATTCCTTCCTCCTTTTTTTTTTAAAAAAGCCCCTAAATGTAATGCCAGAGAGGGTATGATCAGAAAAAAGATCTGGACCCCTGTAAAGAGTTGGATTAAGTCCACACAAAGGAGCGGCGCGTGAGAGATGCAGCTGTGGTGGCTGCCACGGGGTGGGGACTGGTTACTCAGCATCTGCTTCACAATGCTTTCCAGAGACCACTGCCCTTACCCTCCGCTTTTGCTTGGGGGATGTGAGGCACAACGAGTAAAATGAGGTGACTGAACTCCCTCAACAAGCTGTCCTGAGTTTCACCCATTCACCAGAATCTTATTTGGGCTGCTGGCTCAAGAATTATTTTCATCTATCTGTAACAGTTTATTTACATAATCCTTATCACAAAGATAACTATTTTTATCATGGTTAAGATGTTCTGTGTCACCTTACAGGTCACAGCCCCTCTCCCTTGCCTGTGCAGAGCTCTCCTACTGCTGGCCCTCATTCAAGGACAGGCCACAGCAGCTTCCTTACTGAGGCCTCCAGACCTGCGTTTGCCACCCAAACTGCAGCAGCTCTAACTGTCCCAAAGGGCTGCTCCTCAGCAGGAGGAGCGAAATACAGTGTGACCTCTAAAACTCCTGAAGGTAAGTGTGCTGTGAAATAAGGCTTGAGGTATTTATGAACCTGGTTTTCTACCCTAAACCATGGTAACAACTTTATTTCTATCTATCTGAAACATGCAATGTATTTCATTTAAGGAAGGGTATGCCATAATGATGACTCACAAACAATAAAAAGGACGTTACGATTATCAGCTGCCTGAAGAACAGAATGATACTTTCTCGTCAGTTGTGTTAGGTGAAAGGTTGCTGTGAATTTCCAGTATTCTCTAGCAACAACTGCAATTACTGAGAAGACTCTACTCTGCAGCTTCTGGGAAAGTAAAATTTGCATAACTTTAGAAGCTTTAAAAGCTTTTATTTATCAAAGAACAATTCGATTTACATGCTCTTCTTTTTGAAATCTAAGTGGAAAAATCCTGTTCCCTTTGACACAACGGATAACTATCACAACCCCTTGTCCTGCTCACATGAATGAGGAGGGGGCTACTTGTCTCGCTGAAAGAACTGCCATTCCCACACCGAAGTGGTATCCTCCCTTGTTTTACAAGAAAACTTACCACCAACAATAGATCTGGTAACATTTTTATGGTGAAGAATTTCATAGCAGTAGCTAGGTCAGACGTGGTAGGATTTCCTGACTTCGCTATTACAAAACTAAATGCAAGAGCCAAAGCAATTACATGGAAAAGTTTTCTGTCTTCACCTACTTGCAGTGCATTTAACTAGAGTGATGGTGGTCAGTGCCTTTGAAATAGCTTAATTTCTTTTAGAGTCTTCCTAAAGAGAAATTGTACTTCAAGAAAATACAAAATCAGCTATCCAAACAGTCAGCATACCGTCAGCTAAATTTTAAGTTATAAACTGGTTTTCCTGCTTAAAATGTAGCATGCTACTTTGGCTTTCATTATTTAAACACTGAAATGATAAAATCTAATATATAATACATTTATTGTATGTGCTTACCATAATGTTTATACAGGTGTTTTGAATTGAAACTATCAACTAGACAGTTTTCTGGACTATAAATGTACTCTCTAAACAGAGCTAGTGGAAATAAATGTGTTTGTTTGGTCCTGTCCTGGCACTGGTGACTTGGGTTGCCAAGCTACAGGTGACTAGCAACATCTAAACCACAAACAATTCTTCTTCTGTGACTGTGTGTAGGGAGGGGAGAGAGAAAATAATAAGCCTTCTAAGCTAGAAATACACGAAGCTGACCAAAAAGACATTTTAATCTCTGGCAGATAGGCAGAAGAGAGTACAGATGTAACGGGATTACCATGGGAAGCTACTTTATATTACCACAATACTCGAGATGAATAAAGGAACAGAAGAAAACTAGTTTATATGAACAGTATCAGCCATGATGCTAGTTGGTCTCATTTTATAAGATGAAAAATATATTCTCTCTTATATAGGTGTAGAATTCAGCTGACTTCAGTAATGTTTAGCTTTTTAAATATAGTTTCTAATATAGTTATCAAAGGAAAATAGTAGATGATGAACCAAAATATAACTTGGAAGATGAACATAAACTTTAACTTTCAGAGTTCTGTTTGTTATATTATACTCTAATAAAGATTGTTAAGGCTTAACTACCACCAAAAACTAGCAGCCACCAATTATCCTGTTCATTAATATCAGTGACTGCAAAAACACAAGGTGTTTGTGAGGTTCCTCTTGTGCTTGTTTCCCTAAATCATTTTTCTTCACCGTCATATTGTCAAATGGTGTAGTTCCAGGTGTGGCTGTTCTTGCTTCTCAAAAGCTAGTTGCAAGTATTACTTGTGTGTGTGCTTACTGAAGAAAAACCAACCAATTGAGACTGAAGAGGAAACAGTGATTTAGTATAATTCCTGCATGGAAAGTGTAATTAATTATTTGACATGGCTATGTTACATCCTCTCATTTACCTACTTTGGGGCTAGAAAGGTAAATTCGGAATGATCCATGGACATCGAACTACAGTCTATTCTATATTAAAAAAACCTTCTTTATTCAACCTGTTCTCTGCTGTAAAATATTGCAACATGAGTCCAGAAGTATGAAAGTCACTTAATTAGTTAAAAAAAACCTAAATAAGTACTTCCAGAAAAATGTGGGATAATGAAATTACTGTTTTCTCATGCTAATTTTAGAAATTAGTGGCATGTTCACTGTACAATTCCCAGCTACTCACACCTGTTTTGACAGCACTCTGTAAGGTAATTGAGAGGATGGAATTGCTGATGGAATTTGGGCGATGCAAAGCCCTGTTTTTCTGTTGTCTCTAAATCGATCATTTCACAGTGGCAGAGATGACTCACAAAACGATGGCTTAATTACCTCTCCTCAGTTTTTCCTGTTTACTGATAATGAGAATGTGCTATGCAGCTTTCCACCACCAGAGGGGAAAAATACCTTTAGAGAACTCTATATTAAAAGGATATTTACACACCGACAGGTATAACCTTGTGTAAATCTGTTAAATTATCTTTTTGTCTTTTTATTCTGCATGTAGAAATCCACGCCACTTACTAACAGAACAGTAAGGCAGATTGAAAAGGAAACCCATCATACACGTACTCATTAGTTTCCTTTAATTTCCTACTGTTCTGAAAACTCTTAAGGGCTGTGGAGGGGAAAGTGTTCAGCCTTTCGTAGAAAATGCTATTAAATAATTACCATATATCTCTATGATCTTTAGACAGCATCCCCTCATCCTAAATCATCTCAGATTGATATTTTTATATAGAAGAATAGTAGTAGTCATCCAGAATAAATTCCTTGTTCAAAATGTCTTTCTTGGAGCTGGGAAAGAGGAAATTAAGAGGAGTATTTCAGCATTTTCAGTATAGCTAAAACATGGATGAGAAAAGATACCCGGAATATAGCGTATGAGGCTCTGAGGAAGCAGCTGTGTGCACCTGCCTCCGCCCACCCCTTTTACCCCTCAGCTCTGATCAGATCCTTCTGCCGGGGCCCGTTTACCTCTTCTGCTGCAGCGCTTCATCCAGGGTTTCCTGTCTGTCCTGCAGCAGCTGCTGGAGACGCTCTATTTCTTGCTGGAACTGGGCAGTCTTCCCAGCAAATTCTTTCTCCTGCTCAGTCATTTTGAGACTGATATTGCCAAGCTTCCCGGCTGCTTTCTTTTTATACACCTGTAAGAGTTAAAGATGATAGGAGAAATAAGGACAACCAACTCACTACCAACAAAAGAAATATCTAGAGGTACTAATTTGGAGTTTGATCTTTACATCAGGGTTGCCTTACTTAAGTATGTCAGGGTAGGTTGCATTATGTGTTTTTTTAACCTATTTGTTAATTTGAAGGTATTACACTTGTGCTTTGCTCTGCACATAAAACTAGTGTGCACAGTGTACACCATACGGTACGTTTGTCTCACACAGGAAAAGAACTGACTGCAAAAAAAGGGGTTCTTTACCAAGATGCAAGGCTACACTTCACAGCACACGGTGCCTGTCCAAGTCATATTTATCAATGCATATTGTGAAGTGTCTGTGTTCTGTTAATTGTTTAATCTTAACACAAAGAGGAAGAATAGACAGCTTCATATTGTACAGTAACTTGCTGCTTCACGCAATAGTTCCTTCTGTTCAGTGACACAAAAGTGATTTATTTTTTTCATTACTGGCAGTAATAACCAAATATATTGGTCTAATCTCAAAACAAGAAATCCTTTTTGAACAAAGGGATTTTGCTTTCTGAAATAACTTCCCATTAAATTATCTAAGCACACAGGGAATTGAAAAATGTGGCTTGTGTATCGTTACGCATTTCTGCATGCTGCTGCTCTCGACAAAACCAATAGGTATTATCTAATATTAACTTATTTTCTCATGATTACAAACAGAATGCTTATACTGTTATTGTATCTGCAAAATGTGATGTTTGATACAGCCTACAGGACAGAGTCTTGGGATGGAAGCACCTCCTTTAATAAAATTGCAAATGATTTAGCAAAGCTTTGAAAATACTGCTATTTGTGTCTTGATAATGTTTTATCTACAGTGTTAACCACCAAGGTTTTTCTCTGCATTTGATTCAAAGCAGAAAGAGTATGCATTTTGGAGGGGGGGGGGGGGGGGGCCTTTT